GGAGACTTGTATTCCTTGGCTTGTGGTCCCTTCCATCTTCAAAGCCAGCAATCACATCACTCCAACCTCTGCTTCCCTCTTCACATCTCCTTCTCCTACCCTGACCTCCTGCCTCCGTCTTGTAAGGACCCTTGTGATCTCATTGGGCCCACCTGGCTGATCCAGGATAAACTTCCCATCTCAAGGTCCTCAGTGTAATCACATCTGCAGAGCCCACCTTCCATGCATAGTGACACATCACAGGTTCTGGGGATTGCGACATGGACAGCTGTGGGGGCTGTTACTCTGCCTACCACAGGACTAGTCAAAATGTCAATGTCATAAAGACAAAGAGGCTAAAGAGATATGACAACTAAATGCAATAGCTGATCTTGGACTAGATCCTTTTCTGGAGGGGGAAATGCTATAAAGGACATTCATTGTTGTATCAACCAACAAAACTAGAACACGGATGGTTGATTAGATAAAGGTAGCAATATAAATTTATGAAGTCGGTAAATGTACTGAAGTGTGTGAGAGTATCTCCCTACTCTTAGGAAATGCACACTGGAGCATTTAGGAATTAAGGGCCATGAGGTATGCAACCTACTCTCACATGGTTCAGAAAAGCAGTATGTATCCACATACACAGATACAAAGAGAGAGCAAGAGAACTAATGAGGAAGCAAACGGGGCAAAATGCTAACAAGTGAATCTGGGAAAAGGCAGAGGGTACTCCTTATGCTATTTTTATTTTTCATTTTTTTTTGTAAATTTGAGATTATTTCCGAATAAGGAGGTCTAAAGAATCATCTATCCAACCTGTCACTTAGTCCCAAACTTCCGACAATATCCCTGATGTGACGGCCATCCAGGCTCTGGGTCTCCAGTCTGGAGGCTTGAATGCCTCTATGATGGGCATACTCAGTATCTTGTGAGGCAGCCTGTCCAACTGCTCGTTAGTTAAAGGAGTTTGAAAGTTCTCTACAGGCTAGAAAAAATGAAATCAATTTGTTGGTGTCTTTCACCCGTTGGTTGTAGCTGTGCCTTCTGGTGAGATTGGGGTAAGTCTTCAAACCTTTGAGGCCAGCTGTCATATCTCCTTCGTAGTTCACTTTGCAGGCTAAAAGTTTCCTGTCAGTAGGTGGTTTAGAGTCAGTTTTAAACCTCTTTATTGGGATGCACTTTCGTTCATTGGTGTCGCTTTTAAAATGCGGAATCTGTGAGAACACGGCACTCCAGCTGTGGCCACTCCAGTGAAGAGAGCAGTGGGCCCATCCATTTAGTTTGATTTGTTCCTTCCTCCTCTTCCAACCGTATTTCCTAGGTCGCCACAACCTCTGCAGGGAAAGCCATGTTAATGATATACGTTTTATGACTGAATCAATGCACGTGGTTTTGGTGCAGCCCTGATGATCACTGTTACTGCAGTGAGCTGGCAAAACAAAAGAAAACCCTAGAATGAGCCTCTTTTTTTTTTTTCTTTTTAAAGATTGGCACCTGAGCTAACAACTGTTGCCAATCTTTTTTTTTTTCTGCTTTTTCTCCCCACATCCTCCCAGTACATAGTTGTATATTTAGTTGTAGGTCCTTTTAGTTGTGGCATGTGGGACGCCACCTCAACATGGGTTAATGAGAAACCCAGAGGCTGGGTTTCTGGGCTGCGGCTGATAAACAGTGTGTAATCAGCAAGTCCGTTTAATTCTAGTTGGTAAATTGGCTGCAGTAAATCCCAGCACCCAGGGACCCGGGGCCTCAGAGGCAGGACTAAGGAATTCTGCAAAGGGAAGTTTTAGAACTGCTCTGCCCAGCTTCCAAAGAAGGGGTTTAGGAGACTTGCCTAGGGCACGGCTCCTGTCTGAGGGCAACAGACAGCTCTGGAACTCAGAGCTCTCAGGTTCTAGTGTGCTGCTTAGAAGTCGGCTCAAAAGAATTGAGAGCAGCCTTCTGTGAGGAGCACCGTAATGACTGTAGGTAGTTCCGGCTGTCATCAGGGGCACTCTTGCCACACTCTAGTGAGGGAAAGGCAATTGCCAATGCCCCAAGCATTTCTCCAGGTCACGTGTTGGAGGCTCCTTTCCCCATTGCATTAATCCTCCAGCAGCGCTCCAGTGAGACAGGGCCTGAACGACTCCACTCCACCCTGGGCCTCTAGCAGACAGTGGAAAGCCAGGCTCTTAGTGTGAACTCACCAGCCATAAAAACGTCAGGTCACTAAGCAGCTGCTGCATCTCAGGGTCAAGTGTCTCACTTTCAAGGTGGTAGGAGAGGACTGTTTTCTGCAAAAGGCATTTTAAGAGAATTCCTAATAACGAGGACTTTATGATGGTGGGGCAACTAATGAAGCTGATTTGAGAGAAGGAAGAAAGGGAGGGAAGAAGGACAGGCTCTTCTTCTGAGCCTTCTAATGACAGTCAACTTGCAGAAACTGTCTTAAACTGGAAATCCTAAGGGCTTGGAATGTGAACTGCCTACGCAGGATTAGCTCACCAGTGACCAGCCCTTCCTTGCTTCTCTGCCCCCTGGCTTCTACAGTCAAGAGCTCTGGAATGGACAGCAAGGTCCTATGGGTCTAAGAATGGGAAGTTTTAGAGACTGGGCTGAAGTCGCAAAGGGTGGCAGTCTGAATGGAAGTCCAGAGGGAAGTATGATGAGAAGCTACCCTGTTGGGTCATTTTTTTGAGATATACCCAGATGTGAATAAACTGGGGAAGTAAAGGGCATGAAAAGTTATCAAAGGGAGGGGCTGGTCGATGGTGTAGTGGTTAAGCTCTGGTGCTACATTTCAGTGGCTTGGGATTTGAGGGTTCGGATCCTGGAAGCACACCTACACACTGCTCATCAAGCCACGCTGTGGCGGCATCTCCCATGCAAAATAGAGGAAGATTGGCAGATGTTAGCTCAGGGACAATCTTCCTCAAGCAAAAAAAAAAAAAAAAAGTCATCAAAGGGAATTAAGCTGAAAGGGGTATGTGCAAGGGAGGAGGGCAACTTGACCTGAGGTAGGGAAGTTTCTGGGCCATGTGTACAGGGACTCTTCTCTTTTTAAGCAGCTGGTGAAGGCAACTCCTTCTCTCCTCTATGCCGGTCTTCGTGAGTCATTGCTCAGCATCACAATCACCTCCTTTCTGGACACCCTTCCCATCCTAGGAGAGTCAGAGTGGCCCCCCCAAATCTCAACAGACTTGGGAAAGTTTCTCTACACCAGAGTCAGGGTGGGGGGACACTAACAAGGACACCAACAAGAGATGCTCACCATTGCATGGGGACCTGCAGATTTTTTGCTACAGAAATGTTTCTCTGTGACCATAATGGGCATAAATGAAGTGGGAGATGGTATGAAAATCAGTAAAGAACTGCTCCTTTCTCTGCCCAGTGAAAGAACCACAGGCCTATATAGGAGCAGAGAGAACAAATGCTTTAAGTGACTTGGGAAAATTATATTTAGGAAACTCTCTTTCCCGTGAAAAGCAAAAACAAGTTTTGATTAAAATAAGGATCTCCATTGTCACAAACCCCTAGCGTGCAATGTTGTGTTCATGTTGCTTGTTTGAAACCATGGAAACATACAGTTGATTGCAGTAGACAAAAGCATATCAGAGAAGAGACCAAAGGTTAGATCTGATGTTTTCCCTACAAAATGCATAAAAAGTAGTTTTGACCGGTCTTTGCTGTGGAAAACATGAAAATTCTTATAAACAAGGAATTCTTTCCTCTAGGGCTTCCAAACTTTCTCCAAGATAAAGAATTTAAAGATTTTTAAGCCATCTCTTAATTATGGACTCAGCAGGGTTTTAGACATCAGTAGAGTTTGTATTAATAGGGGAACAGGAATTTAGAGATGTAAACCAATGTATACACCACATGGACAAAATGAGCATGTAACACAGCGATGGTCCACAAATGACCCTGATGCAAGCAGCTTAGAACCCTGCCTTTAAATCTCTATACACGGTCCATGGTTCTCGAAGCCAGTGTTTATGGAACCAAATGGTATACAATAGATGTTAAACCTTGAGAACTCTTAATTTAGGCTTTCCATTTGATAGGAAATAGCTGATGTAAAAAAAAAAGTCTCACAAAAAATTCTCCCTCCCTTTCAGAACTCAGTCTTTTGAATGATTGTGTTCAAACTATTTTAATAAAGATCATCCTTTTGCCTCACATAAACCTATGTTAGATTACAAAAAAGGGGCAAAGTCCCGGAAGGATCGAGTAGCTTCACCCTCCCAGCAGAAGCACATCTTCCTCAGTGATTTTTTTGGGGAAACTGAGGACATAAAAGTAAATGTAATGATCTGAAACTTTCAGGTTTTTCCCTATTTCTATCAATACACTAAGGGCATTGTGATGGTTCTTTATGTAGCTCCACACTCAAACCGTACAAATAACACAGCAGTACGTTGAGTTTGTGGGATGGAATCTAATGTTCGTGTAACATGCAGAAGGATCCCTCCCATGTGAACGCCAGCGTAAGAGAACAAAGTAGCTGTGGACGCTCTGCAGTGTCCAGCGACGGGAGGAAAACAAGACGGCCAGCAATTCTAAGAACATCCTGAGTCCACGCCAAAGACCAGAGAGGCTTCGGTCCTCTACCAGCCACCAGGACAATTTCAGCTTGACTTCAGGTTGGGTTGAGGACGGCCAGGCAGCCCAAGTGACGTGGTGCCAAGAGAAAGCCCTATTTTTGGAAGATAAAATACACATTCCTTGTTCTATACAGGTAACACTTCCCATATTGACCTATACCATACATTAATTTTTGAAGAGGAAATGCATCAAAATGAAAAAGGTTTTGATTCTAGAGAGCAGAGATTCTTTTCTACACCCTCAGTTGAATAACTTCATCAGTAGCCCCACCACGAAACTGTAATACTTACTAGAGGTGTACAAAGAAGTTGCGGAGTTACAGAAAGAGGCAGCATAGGGTACTCTGCGGGCAGAGGGAACGCTGCCGTCCATTACGTGCAAGGAAGTTGGATAATGCTATTTTAATAACTCATAGAAAGCATATGCACACATCCAATGAATTCATCTCTTTATTGCATATTGCTATTTAAAAAAATGTACAGTCTCATAACACACAACAGTTTTTTCTCGGTACTATGACAACAGTCTTGCACCTAAAGACTAAGCGGTTCCAACTACTAAGCTAATAAGATACAAGACATATAATTAAGTTTACAAATTATAATGCTTTTTATTTTTGGCATTAATTTAAAAAAACAAAGAAAAAACTTTTAAAATACACACCCGAGAGAGAAAAGTGGCTACTTACACCAGCACCAATCTAAAAAGTAGGTTTTTTCCAACAATGGCACATGGAATTACCTGCACACAGCTTTTGGGGAAAGAAACCAAAAATGGAAATGGCAGAGGAGGCCTACCAGGATGGCCACATCAAAATGAGGATAAAAAGGGCAAGAGGGACACGCTACACAAGCTTGCTCCTTTATGTGACTCTCCTTCTACTGTCCACTCCTTAAACTGTAAGACAAAGCCGTTTTCAAAGTACAGTCTCAAAACTGAGCCAGACCAAGTTTCTCCTGCTAGAAATAGAGAAGAATATACATAGAGGCACTTTAGTTAAGGAATAGACAAATCCGTCAGCACATCCCACTCCTCCTCACCTCCATGCCTTTTTTGAGCACAGTCTCCACCTGCAGCTTTAACACGGTGTACTTGCAGACCTTGGGGACTAGGAGTTGGGGCAGCATAACCCTGCTGTGTATTTATGACCGTTGTATTTGCTAGAGTCACTTACTTCCACATAATGTGTAGAAAGTCACTAAGTTTGCAATGAGGGGGAAAAAATGTAAAACCACAGCTCTTGACAACTCTTAGAGCACTATTTCACAGCTTTCACATAGCGCAGACCTATCTGCGCTAAGCATTATAATTATTTTTAAATAGTTCGATTCCTGTACAGTGCACACATTGGTATTCTATCCACCCCTTACTATCCCCGTTAGAACATAAGCTCCTTGGGGCAGAGGCTCTGTCTTGCTTACCACTGTAGCCCTACTATGCCTGGCACACAGTAGGTCTTTAATAAATATTTGTTAATTGACTGAAAAACTCAATTTAGGGAGTAAATAATGTTCTAGTGCAACAGGACAAACTACTCTCTCCACAGGAAACCCAACCGCAACAGGATTGATGGAAAGCAAAGAGAACCTTAGCCCCCCTCCCCCACTACAAATAAATAAAGCAAAGCCAAAAAAAAAGAAAGTAACAGTCCTCTTTATATATAACTTAAGGATATTAAGAGTTGGTAGGTTAATGGTAAGCATCTATATTTTATTTTCTAATGTTCATTGTTTCTATTCATTTCTCCCTGAGAGCTTTATCTTTTGGACTGAAATTTTACAGGTAGCTTTACTGACACACAATTTAAAATGACAACATATAAACAGCAAACCACTTCAAACATACTTAGAGATAAATAGATCTTGGCATCTCTGTTAGTGCTGTTGACATTTTGTGCATTCATTAAGTGTCCTTTAGTCCAGACCTATAGTTACAGAAGATGCAGCTTGTCCTACAAAACAGAAAATACAAAAAAAAAAAAAAGGCACCCCCATAAAAAATTTTTTTAAATAACTTTCAACCCTTCAGACAATTCCTCCTTTTAGGTCTTGGGTGGGAAATTTTATTTTTAGTTCATATATCTATGTTGTTAGGACAACAAGCACATTCTGGCAATCTTGTTCTTTAACAAAAGCATGGATTGCATTTAGATAAATAGTGTTCTTTCCAAAAGCAATGTAAAGAAATCATCAAGAGCGCTTGGCAGAGAACTCGATGAAATTAGGGAAAAGAATTGATGTCCAAGTTTTAAATATATAAAAAAAAAATTCTGACATTCTACATAATTCAGATTGTGTGCAAGATGTTCTCAATAAACATTTACAGACTGCATCCCCACACCAAAGTCAGAGATTCGAAGCTGGTCCGACCAAATACTGATGCAATGCACCAGCATCACATTGTCAACTATCAAAAACCATTTTAAATCTATATTTTTCCAACACTAGTTTTACCAATGAAAATAATTTCCAAGTATACTAAGCTTGGAAACTATAAAATATTTCTCAAGCTTTTTTTTTTTGCTTTTGCTTTTCTTTTTACTCTAGGGAATGTCTCTGTCATCTCTTTCAGGAGATAGTATTGTGCTTCTGAACAGTTGTGGTGTTTAGGGGAAGAAAATGAGCCACACTCAATATGAATGCATACACAAAGGGTTTCTGAGCACATACATTAACATAGATTTTTTTTAACCATACATATAGGTCTTCAGACAACACTCAGACTTCTATATACATTTTTTTTAATATATATACACATACATTTACATACACACACATTCACACATTCTCTCACAGATGAAAGAAGAAATTGCCACTGTTTGGATTGCAAGGCAGTGTAATGAAAAGTTCTAGTCACTTCAAAGGGCTGCTAATGAGCTTTCTAAAAAAGTATTCAAGGAAAATTAGAAATTAAGTTTCGTGACTGGTCTCTCTCGGCTGCTGTCCGTCATCTGGTTGGTAACGCGCTTGCGATTCCGCTTCAGTTTAGAAAGGTCTTTGTCGAACACTTCTCCTGAGCGTAAAGCTGAAACCAGGTCATCGAACTCTCCGCCTTCTTCACTGTTCTCTTTTGCTTTCCTCATTTTACGTTCCCTTTCACGTTGCTCTTTGAGCTGCAAAGAGAAAGCAACCTCTTAGAGAAGTGTAAAAATGTTGTCTTTTGTTTGCAGTAGAGATGGATTCTGTGAAATATGGCAGAGCTTCAGCCACACCAAGCCAGGTCCATCCTTAGCTGCCAACGCCCCTGGATGTCACAAGAGAGGGGTAACTGGGACATGAGGTCTCACTGTAGAAGCAACGAACAAGGAAGAAAAAGGATCACTACCTTGTGATTAGACTGTAACCATCCAGCATCTAGGTGATCCCCATGATATTCGAGTTAAAAAAAAAGAGCAGTTGGGGCAATTCATACTTCTATAATGGAATGAGAAAGTTATCACTATTAAATGGACTCAAATATTGGTTTCTTTGATGGCATAGAAAGACTACAAGGAACGCTCATCAGGCCACTCTCCCTACATCAAAGGCTCAGCCTGTATCTACTCTGGATGCCTGGAACCTGCTACGCGAGAGTTACCATTACTGAAGGCAAGTAATACACATACATTATAGAAAATTTAGATAATTCAGGTAAACAAAAGGGGAAAATCATCCTTTATTCTACATCAAGGATAACCATTGTGAACCTTTTGGGGGTACATCCCACCACCATTATTTTCTATATTAACACCTATTTTACCAAAATAAAAAAAAAGAGAGCTATCATAGAGAAATCATTTTGTAAACTTTCTTGCATCAGCAAATATTGTTTGAAGACATGACTGTATATTCCATTATGTAGCTCTTACATCATTTAGAACTAATGCCCGGTTTGTAAACATTTAGGTTGTTACCAGCTCGGGGCTATTATAAAGATTGCTGCTCTCTTTGTGCAAATTTATGATTATTTCTTTAGAATCATTTCTAGGAAATGGAATTCCAGATCAAAGGATGTGGGTATATTTTTTCAGGCTTTGGACATCTACTGCCAAATTGTCCAAGAGAAACTTTATACCAATTTAAACTCCCAGCAGTATTCTAGAGAGTTCTTCGATGCCCTCCTTCTCGCCAGCACCTCGGAATGCTGTCTAAAAACCACGGAGTTGCAGCAAGAGAACTTGCAGGAGGTGGAGTTGGCTGATTACCCCTCTCTCACCTGAGCTTCCATGCGAGCTCGGCGCTCTTCCTCCTCCTTCTTCTTTCTCATGTTTTCGTTCTCTTGTTTGGCTTCTGACACAGCTTGAAGAAACTGATCAAAAATGCCAAAGAACTCATCTGGCTGTATTTTGCCAGCCTCTTCCCCAAAGTGTTTCACTGCTTTAGTAAACTGGAAAAAAAGAAGGTTTTAGGGAGTTCAGTGTTCCAAGAGAATTCCATAATCAAAGCTCTGTAGAATGACCAAAGGTCAAATTGAGTCACATATGACTTGCTGGATTTTAGTGAGCCTGTATTTATCTTTGGCTGCTGAACATGTCTATCAATCACTGCTAAAGTCAAAAATGTAATACTCCTCCACATTTGAAACCATTCATTCTTGTCCACCTCATTTCAGCTTAACATCCATGATCACCTACCATGACTTTTTATTAACTAAACAGCAGTAAAAACAAAAAAGCAAAATATCGTGGCGCAGAGCACTCAAGACATAAAGGTAATAGCAACTCTAAAGGGGCACGGAGACTTGCACTTTCAACTTTTCTTTCAAGTAGTTTAATATCATTTATTGGTGCCATATGGTTAATATCAAAAGCAAATGGGATCCCGTGCTTCCTAGATGCTTTTCCTAATTATAAATAATGCTGGTGTTATGATACTTCCTGAGCCTTAATTAGGAAACAATAACTGATTATGGAATCATTAATGCAACCCAAAATTTATGACTAAGAATACAATTTTATTCCAAATCCTTTGTTTTAGAACCCCTTTCAATGCAAATCTTTTTAAAAGAGATAAAATGTAAAATATTAAGGGAGAATTTTAAAAAGTTAAATGAAAGTGTATATATGTAGATATCTATAGATATCTATATATAGTAACAAAACAGTATTTCCAGTCTTTTTAGTTTTCATTGTTGCTAATTCTAGTTCTTCCGGCAATTACCTTCATAACCTGAGACCGCATGCTTTTAGGAGTCTTAGTATTATTATGACTATCCAAATTATGTTCAGTGCAGGTCAGACGGCTTGTTAGAATTTTTCTTCCTTCTCTAAGGATCTAATGATCTAATGCTGTTATTCCTAAGCCACTAAGGATGGTGTTTCTAGCTTCAAAGTCAAATGAATTCTCATTCTCTATGCCTAACCAACTACTTAAAATTTTCCAGATCTTTAATTTTCTTCAGGTTTAGCCTGTGACATGTGTATGCAGTCCCCCAACCCAAAAGTTGCTAATTGCTTTTATTTTTCTTGCATTACCTGCCTTTATTATATTAAGTTTTTCTGATATTTCAAGTAATATTATCTACCTAAAGGAGATATTTTCAGTATTGATTCCCTTTTATTTTTTTGGCCCCCTCTCCCCCAGTTTTATTGAGATATAATTGACATACAGCACTGCATAAGTTTAAGATGTACAGCATAATGACTTGACATATATATTGTAAAGTGATTCCACAACAAGTTAATATCCATCATCTCATATAGATACAAAAAAAAAAAATGGGTTTTTTTCCTTGCAATGAGAACTGTTGGGTCTACTCTGTTAACAATTTTCAAATATAGCATCCAGCAGTGTTAACTATAGTCACCATATCATACATTACATCCCCAGGACTTATCAATCTTCTAACTGGAAGTTTGAACCTTTTGACTACTTTCATCCAATTCCTCCTCAATATTTATTCTTAAATAAAACAATTTTTGATTATGTTGTGTGTGTATATGTGTCTGTGTGTATACATACTACATTTTATAATTATTTCATATCTTTATATAGATAATAAATACGTTCTTTTACCATCTTTTTCTTTGCTGAGGAGCTGTTCTCAATGTTTTACTTATTTGGAAATATTCTATTAGAAACTAGCGCTCTTTAGAGAAAAATATAACATTTTTCACACGCCACATACAGCACTCTAGCTAGCTTCATGGTTTTATAAGCTAATTTCTAAAAGGTCTGCTATAAACAAAACAGCAACAGACAGCCTAAAATTGAGTTTCTAAAACATTCAAGTTCACACACTCCAAGCCATCCTGAATGATCTTTTTATCTAGGAATTCTAGTGATGATGAAGTCATGTATATTCTACTCTTAGAAATCTGACGAAAACTTGTCCCAGACTGAAGTTCTCAAACTAAGATAAAAAAAGGAGGTTTGGTGGGTGTGTGTGTTTTTAAATCAAAAATTATCCAGTTGATTGTTATAAAAATGTTCGACCCCTTGAGGAAATAAGTACTATATTGCCTAGTTTGGGAAGTGGTCCCTTCCTTTCCGGAGTGTATACTCCAAGTGGTGTGGCGTACACAAGACGTGGCGGGGCTACCCCAGTGGAGGCTGCTGACTGATTTCAATCATGGATATCAGAGGCTAGAACTCTAACAGCAGTCATCTGAGCATATATCATCTGCTAGTTGATTTAATAATGTTGGAGGTGGGGTTTAAGGTGCAGACTAGCAAATGTATCTCCACACAGTCTACTTCGGAACTTAAACCACAGTGTGTGTAGACTTACACACACAATCATCCATATCTATAACTCAACAAGTGACCATGGAAAAATTAGAGACAGAGAGAGGGAGAGAGGGAGAGAGGGAGAGAGGGAGAGAGGGAGAGAGGGAGAGAGGGAGAGAGGGAGAGAGGGAGAGAGGGGGAGAGAGAGAGAGAGAGAGAGAGAGAGAGAGAGAGAGAGGGAGGGAGGGAGGGAGAGGAGAGCCAGGGGGATTTAAGGTCTTGGTTATTAGTCAACAAAAATTTTTCCTTTGTAAGAAAACAAAATTTTGAAATAGCAAAAGTCACAAAAAGAAATGTCTTAAAAATATATATATATGCCTCTTGCAATGAAGCTATGAGTCAAAGTGCATCTCATTGAGTAAGTTCTGCTGGAGATTTCAAGAGGGAGTATTCTGTCCTCTCAGGTCCCTGCCTCAGGAGAACATATTACTCACAGGTCCCCAGGCACAGGGCCTTGGTCACACCTGACTGCAGATTTCATCTACCTCTGCTTTTCATAACCTACTCTTTTCTGGTTTCCAGAGATAAGTATTTTGATCCAATATCAACCAAGAGACAATTGTCAAAGTATTTACTGGTTTTAACCATTCGGATATTGCAAGATCTTGCTAACCTAAAGGCAGCATAGGCCAGTTATACAAAAAAGGTGTGTCTCAATTGATCACAGTCCTAGAAATGACAATATACTTATAGTATAACATCTGAAAGTACCAGCCCTGTCAAACAACACTCAGTGTGCAAGAGGGCAATTTACCAGGTCTTTAGCTTCTGCTAGAAGATCTTCGACATCAGAGAAGCTGAAGCTGGCTACTGTGATGAACTGGCTGACGACAGACACAAACTTATCTCCAGGCTGCAGAGGCTGAGACTTCTGATATTCCAGCTCCTTAAACACAGGAAGTGGGTAACGTCAACATAGGCTTCAAATGCAGACACACCTTGTCTCATTTTCCATATGCCTCAAATTTAGTAAGTCAGAATGGCAAACACATCAAAGCCTGCTCTGAAACACTGTGTGATACTCTAGCTCCCCTGCCCTTCCGCCCACTGTGCCAGAGCCATGCCCATGTGCATACACGCATCTGCGAACGGCAACTCCACCAATCATCTGAGTACTTTATCAGTGTGATTTCTTACGCCAGCTGTAGAAGTCAGCAGATTCACATTTGGAGAAAATTAATAGACGTTAAACAAATAATGGAGAGCAAACTGGATTCAAAGAGTGTGTGACTGAAAGCAAGAAAATCTGTTGATATTCTGTGCTCAGAATTCTGTTTTCCTGATTATTCCTTCTTTCCCTCTTGGCCAAGTCTACTTACTTCCTACACCATGCTATCTGGATCAGGAGAATTTCAACTGTAACATTTGGCATCATAATTGTCTGCCATTTTTCTTCTTGTCCACACCATTTGGTTTTTGTGAACAGGCAGGTAGGAGTATTAGTGTCTTGTTAATTATCCACATTCTCCATTACCATGGTGATGAACATACATATTATTCAAATCTAACTTCAATAATTAATTTCAACCATTGCCGCAGGCACTTTCTTATTTAATCCCACAATACCTCTATAAGTGAAACATTATTATCCCCATTTTACAGAGATATAAATTGAAGTCGAGCGGGATTAAATTCTTTGCTCAAAGTCGAGTAGCTGATATGTGATAGAGCCCGAGTTTGAACTCCAGCCTGTGTGACTCCAGAATTTCAGCAACAACTATGCTGTGTACCAACTGACTTAATCTGGATCTCTCTGTTTTCTTTGGCACCCACTTTGGCAGAGGTACCAACAAGCGGGAGTGTACAGGTCCCAGGCTACGGGTGCTGATTCAGCTCCACCACTGACTTATCTATGACAAGAGTCCTGGGTCTCAGTTTCTGCACTCGTAAGAGGGCAGATCCACGTCAGCATAAGAATCAAATGAAATAACAGAAGTGGAAATGCTTATAAATTATGGAGCTTGCTCTGATTGGAAGAAATAGTCACAGTTCTAGTACTTTTAATCAATTTGTGCAAAGCACAATTAGGAGACATGAATATTTAGATAGGCCAAGGTCTGCCACCCAACATTTCCTCCCAAGGCTACAGCTTGACACTTAAGCTCCCCTTTCCTATGAAGAATGTGTTACAGCGTACACGCCCCCGGGGATGGAGAGATTTCAGCAAAACTACCTTTAATAAACCCCAAACACATAATTTCCTTGAGCCCCCTCTCATGCTTGCTGTCAACGGGCTCGGACTCAAGGGTCAGAGCATCCATTATCAGGCTTTAGGGCTGTCACAACTGCCAGGCTAGTCTCAAGAAAGCCTTCCACTGGCAGGAAATGGCAACAGAGTGAAGGCTATAAAACTAGCCTCGTCCCAAACTGCCCTGATCCAGTCTGGCCTCTGAAAGCCGAGGACCGTCCTACATGCTCACTCCCAGTCTCTCGGCCCGCTGGGACTGGGAGAAAAAGAGTTCACTCAATTAGTTCATCTCATTTTCTTTTTAAACAGCCCCTCTCCTTCCCCTCCAAAAAGGAAAGAAATAAAACCTTACATGCTCCTTAGTTTATTAAAAACAAACAGAAAAGATTAGACATTACAATTGTGATTTTTATTAGAGGTGTGTCTTTAATGAGATTAACTACTTTCTATGGCATAGTTTTGCAATAAAAAAAGAAAAGGAGGGTCCTCAGGGCATAACTGATAAATGATCTGAAAGATATTTAAGAGAAGGGCACCTTCGCAAGCTGCTGGGAACCAGTCTCCTTCACTAAGTGCCAGATCAGAGCTATGTCCACTCTCCTGAGCGAGGTTTCTCATCCCCTGACCTGCCTCCTTACTGCTGGCGGCATTTGTGCAATACCCACGTGGCACTGTGCCTGCACAGTCAGGTTTAATTCCACAGACTCCTCTGCCTCTGGCTGCCTGACCCACTTTCCTTCCACTGAGGCCTGGGCAGAGCTTGTCTCGTACAACCTCGGATGACCTCCCTTCTACATACCTAAGCTTACTCCACCCTCCTTCTCAGCCACAGGTCCTTGAGGATCACCTAGGCCAGTCCACTTTAGTGAGTTCTGCCTCGCAGGTAGGAAATGGGTGGAATTCTGGGTCCAGTTTCCCAGCTCCTGCTCCAGAGACCCCTCCGTGACGTTCTCCTGCCCGCAATTGAGTCATCAGGCTAAATTCAGCCTACCTTTGCTTTTTTCTTAATAAACGTTTCCCCCGGGGCATACCACATGCCAAAACAACTGGCGACTCCTCTTCTGGACATCGCCAGCACTAGGGATGGTGCAAAGACTGGGAATTAGGAAAGAAACAAAACTCACCGTCTCTACTGCTTTCAGGCCACTTCTCAATGTATTTATCTCTTTGTCCAGCTCAGTCATGCTGTTGTAAATAACAACATTTTAGTAACCAACATGTGACTGATACCTATTAAATATATGATATGTTTAAATATTTCATGCTTGGCAGTCCACACTTGTTTATTTGAAATGTCTAAAATTCCCTTCAATGTTCAGATCTCACAGAAAGACAACAACGTTTTGAACTTATGGAATTAGGTTTTTTGTTTTCCACAGCCAGCAGGTATATTTTATAGGTTAAAAATAGCAGAATAGAAATATCTCCCATCTGGACAAAAATATTTCATGTTTCAATCTCACAAAAATCTCACTTAAGCAAATTACTATATATGGAAATAAATTCCTTGCTGTACGTGGTTCCCTTTGAACAAGGAAAGGAAACCGGCTTATCCACAATCACACTCACGCTGTGCCCTTCATACTCAGTGCTCTGCTATTCGCTAAAGCTCTGGTACCATGAATAATACAAGGTGATGTCTTAAATTTCAACTAAGAATGATTTTTCTTAAAGTTGTACTAACTAGTTTTCATTTCCATTGCTTTTTTTTTTAATAGAGAAAGTGTCCTGGGCTTCTCTCATAATGCTTTATATGTGATGGCTTTTAAACATTAGAGATTACAACTTAATTCTTGCAGATAATTCAAATGTAAACAAATTCACCAATATTTCATTTACTTTAACATTTTAATTTTATGCCTTATATGGTACATTTCTACCAAATTCTACAAAAAGAGGGAAAAAATTAGCCTGCTCATCACATTTTTCAAATTCATTGCAAAAAGATGCAGTTTAAATGTGTTTAAAAAAAGGTGGGGGGGCCAAAAGGGGGAGGGATGAACACAAGGAAAACTGTCGGTTCCTCAGTCTCTGAAAAGCGGTGTGAAGTTTGTGGTGAAAGTTTGGCAACTTTCCATTTTGTTTTTAGTTTCTTCATTTGCATAAAGACTGCTTTCCATTAAAAGCTTGCCTTGGTTTCTGGGAGTATGCGCACACGTGAAAATTACAAGCACCAATCTGACATTTAGGTCTCCTATTTCCTTAACCACGTATCCTCATTTCACCAAGGGTGCTCCTACCTGTATGTTAATACAACTACCATTTAAAAGTCCTAGTGAAACCACATTCCTTTCCTTTCCTTTTAATAACCCACAGAATTAGGTTTTGTGGAAGTTAAAAACTGCAGGCAGGGGTATTCCAGAGGAGCTAGAACAAATATATATTCCAAACATTTGAGTGATTGGGATACGATTCAAACTTTATTCCCCATTCTACTCATGGGAAAGCAAACAGAGGACAGGACCCTCTTCACGCAGTGCTGACCACCTATCTCAACGGCTAAAGCACAGCCCACCTAATTAAAAAACTAACACGACCCACTGTAGGTACTTACTTTACTTTTGCTGCTTGAGGAATGTCCCGCAGTTCTTCATGGAGATTGAGAACCTTGGGGTATTTATTTTCCACAATAGTTATGAGATAGTGCAAAAGTGTAATGTTCCTATAATTAAAGAAGGAAAGAGCATCAAACATGGTTAGTATCTGCATATGATTTAAACATTCAAGTGGTTGGATCCACAAGAATGCTATATTTCTGCATTAATTTCAAAATTTGGAGGTTCCTGTAAGGCAAGAATTCTCAAGAGAAGGTGATATGGGGAGAGCCTACATGAGATTTACAGAAATATATATCAGAAGGAAGCATACGTCTTCTAAAAAGGTAGGGCAGGGGATAAAAGTTATACTTCTTTGGCCCATAACGAGCATCCTTGAAAATCTGGGTAATGCTACAGGTGATGGAAATGAATAGGAACTATCGGCAGTGGGGACACACCTTCATAGTGCATCCACCATTTATTCACACAAAGCAGGGCGGCGTGGGGTGGGGAGGCAGGGGTGTTTAAGCCACTAACAAGGGACAGCCATTTTCAGTCTAAAGGAACAGAGCAGCGACTCACTGATGAGGATTATGGATAATTCTCATTTAATATTTCTTTCACTCTATTTGTTTTCATGTTGCAGCAAACGGTGGTCAGAAAGTTAGAAAGCCACCGATTTCGGGGCCCAGCCTGGAAGTGGGCCAAGACTGTGCCGTCACAGATATGGTATCCTTTCGGCTGAGAATCCAATTCCTAATTTTAGCAACACTTCACCTTCTAACTGCCATACCCCAGCTCCCTCTTTGGTGGTGACAGGGCTGCACCCTGACTGACCCAGGTTGAAAAGGCAGGCGTCTGATAAAACTATCTACTAGGCAAAGCTGTGGTAGTCTGGTCCCAGTGCCCCCACCATCCGCAATGCATGTTACAATCACCTGGACACCAGATGCCGGGGCGCCAACCTGAGATTCACTTAATTGGAACGAGGTGAGGCCAGGTGTGGGTATTTTTAAAAACTCCCCAGTGATTCTAACAGGTAAGATCGAGAACCACTGGTCTATTGAAAGTTACTCTAATCAGGAAGACACAAATGTGTGTCTTTAAAAACACATCCCTAATTTTTAGGCAGTTTGCTATTTCACAATGCTGTCACATCAGTCCCACCCACCTCCAACTAAAGTGAAGCAGAGCTGTCAAACAATTTTCTTTTTTCTTTTCTTTTCTTTGAGGAAGATTAGCACTGAGCTAACTGCTGCCAATCCTCCTCTTTTTGCTGAGGAAGACTGGCCCTGAGCTAACACCCGTGCCCATCTTCCTCTACTTTATATGTGGGACGCCTGCCACAGCATGGCTTGCCAAGCTGTGCCATGTCCGCACCCGGGATCCAAACCGGTGAATCCCGGGCAGCCGAGGCAGGACCTGTGAACTTCACCGCTCTGCCACCAGGCCAGCCCGAGTTTTCTTTTCCATAATAATGAAAACCATTTCTGGTTACCCTAGCAGCTTCACAGAAGTCAATGCAATCCTATTCCTCTGAGTCAACTGGCCCACATGTAAAAAAAATTGTCCTTGCTCTCAATAATTAGAAAACAATTGCTCAGCAAAGTCAAACACTGGCTAATAATTCTGGTTACCTAGACAAGTCTTCAATGCAGAATGCATGTACCCTTCATGCCGACAGCCTTGCAGTTTGATTAGATTCACTTGAACATTTAACGAGTGAGTGCTTATAAGCAAGGCACTCTGCTGGCACTATGGGTTTATAAGACACTTTTGAGGAACAAAGATTCACAGGCAGAAAAAAAGAGATCAGAGTGTCTCTACTGTTTTGAAAAAGATTGTCCATTAGATAAATTCTGTAGTAACTTTAATAAGCAGATAATCACGTAGTAAGTGCCAGGTTATCATTAAGTTTGAGGGAGGCAAAGAGTATCAAGGACTTGTGGGTGTGTGTTTCTCTTTGAGAGAGAGAGAACAGGACTGACTGGTAGTGAGGGTTCCCTTCCTTTGACCTGCAAGCCCAGTTGAAGAGAACACTCTTCCTTCAAGAGGTGGCTGCTCTTTGTATGCAAGTAAGATGCTACAATTGCCTACTACCGCCTACAAATAAGAGCTGTGGACAGACGACTAGGACAGGTGTCAAACACCTGTAGGGCCACATACCTTGCTTGTTGTGACCTTAGGCAAGTTACACGAGCCACCTGACCCTGGCTTAGTTTCTTTATCTGCTAACAGGCGACATAGCACTTGGCCTGTGTACAATACAGGCTGTTGCGACGATCACATGTGAAACTGCTCTGAAAAGGATCAAGTGCTTATATTAAAAATCAGGTGGCAGTGACATAACATAACAGCTGCCCTTCCTTAATCTATCTCTACATGATGCAAAGATAAGGTTAGGCCAACAACTTAACACACTGCTTATTTCTTATAGGACGGATTCAGGGTTGCCATAATGCTATGCTTCGCTAACCCTATAGAAAATATAGAGTAAAAAGCCTCACTCGTTAGGCATAATTAGAGTGAACAGTGCATATTTCTAAAAGGAATTTGGGTACAAAGCAGTTTACCTTAGAAACAATTGTGCAAGTTCCTTTGAAGTCAGTGAGAACCTTAGAGAAACACAGCTCTCAGGGCAGCTAGAGTTAATGTGCCCAATGACCCTACCTGTTAATGGCAGCAGAGCATTTTCACATCTCGGTGTCTCTAAGGAGAATCTGTTCACTTAAAATGCACTTTCTAGGAAGCATTTTAATGAGTCTTGGGATGAGCAGCTGAATACCAACAGCCAAAACACATTTACACATATTTTTCATATATCTGCTGGCTTCAATGTATAAAGGAGAACACAACTTAAAAACCCAACAAGCTTCACATTCTGTCATCAGCTGTCGGTTTTCTTTCTTTTCCCTGGAACATGGTTCTCTGTGGAGGCATAGTGACTGGCACAGGACAGCAGGAGACCACCAAAGTGCTGGTAAGATTCTCTTTCTGCATCTAGGCACTAGTTATGCTAATGTGTTCAATTTGTGAAAATTCATCGAGCTGCATGTTTACGATGAGTGAACTTGTCTTTAGTGCATTATATTATAATAAAAAGTTTATCCAAGAAAACCCAAAAAACAACAAATTTGGACTAGATCATATCCCTGTGGACTGAAAACGGATGAAGGATAATTGGCCCAACAGGAACTTGGGGTACTTGTGGTTGTGCGAGAGGTCAGAGAGGGCTCAAGTCAGACAAGGAAAGAGCAGTGCAAGCCAGAGACTGCAGCATTGTGAGGCCTAGAGGAGCAAGGGACAAGTGTAAGCCCTGAGCCGAGCAGCCAGATCCTCCAGGACGGAAGATCCACACTTACTTGTCAATGCTGGATTTTGTGTCAGCAATCTTGTTCAGGCTGGATATCTTGAATCCATACGCATTGCCTCTTTGGCCTTTATTCATGTAATTCCCAAAGGCCAAAACCACCTCTAGCAACTGCTTCAGGGCACCACTCCTGAACACCTCTTCTGAGCCAGAACGAATCGCTTCAAAACACACAAAAACACTACTATTACAATCCAGACTTTCCAGTGATATCCATCCTAAACCTGCACACCTAACAGTGGATACTGAAGATGTAAGATTGGGTTGCTAGGCTACCAGGGAGCGCTTTCAAAACATTTCAACCAGAGGCAAAGAACTCAGGGACATGGAGAGCCAGACAGCCGCACAATGCCACTCTTTGCCAGTCCTTTTCTCGCCTGACTCATCAACTACAAGCAGTTAGGAACACACAGAACAGCAACTGCATTTCCCACATTCCTTTGCAAACACTTTCCTGCCTGGTATGAGTCAGATCAACAGGATTACTGATCACTTCCATTGATAGAAAAACTGCGTTACATGTTATAGCTTGCAGGTATCACCAGGGATCAGAGCTCGAGCAGGCTCCTAAGTCCCAGCTCACGTTCTGTGGCTGTGCTCTTTAGTTGCCTTGCCCATATTTCAAACATCTAAAAATCTAACAGCCTCAAAATCAAACCATATAAGAGCCTCGGCTCTTCCCTTAGAAAAATCTAGTAAGACCCCATTGCAAGAAAGCTAATTATAGGCTTAATGCCAGCAGTGATCAAATAAATTCCTCACCAACATCCAGGATGTCCAAAGCCCGAGCCTGCAAAGGAGCCCAGGCGGCGTGCTGGGAGCTCCAGAACCCAGGCTGGGCCAGCGAGCCAAGCATGGACCTTAAGTAATGACCCATCAGAATTCCAGAAGATTGTGAACAAGAAAATCACCAAAGCGATCCTGTTCACCATATGCACCTGGATCGCACGTGTAAAGGGGCACTTAAGACAAACGTCATTTCCAGCCTGGGTGGCCTGACTTTACCTTCTACCTTCGGTTTCACTTCTGCCACACGCTCTGCAAACTTCTTTTTGAAGTACAGCGACTGCAGTCTTTGCTGATAATGGTTAATTCTGTAAGAGCAAGCATGGATTAACGAACATTTACTTAATACATCTGTGTCCACTCAATGGAAAAGGAGGTGGAGGTACCCTAGAGTACCCCCCAAACACACAGACACACACACGTGCACAGTTCCTCTCCTGGACAGGAGCACAGGGCGCGAGGCCATCTTCTCCTGGAGAGCCCCTTTCTCTCTGACCTACAGTGGGTATTGTGGCAATTGCAGCAGGGTCCTTAGCCCCAATCAGACTAGGCAACTGCTAAAAGAAAGTGAGAGCTGGCTGCCGTCGAGGAAAGCAAGTCCCTTCCCTTCCTCAGAGTCCCAGTAGCCCTTGTGAGCAGAGAAGAGAGAAAAAGGAATGAAAGGGTGAAGACTGTCCGTTCTGCTGCCAGCAAAGGCTGTTTCCCGCACTTTGCCCACGCTGCTTCATGGCCCACAACGTTTGCATTTGGCAAAACTGTAGAGTAACCTGTCTACAGCATTGTCTCCTCATCCATACCCACACCTTCCCCTCTCTTCACAGTTAGCCCTGCATCTGCTCCCCTCAGGGCTGGCATGCTCTGCCTTCCAAGATAGCGCTAGCACTAGAGACAACAGCAATGAACGCTGGCCTCTGATTACCTCCAAGGTAAGCTCTCTGTGCTGCTGAGGGGGCGAGGGTGAGCACTTTTGCTCAGGCCTCTGAAATCACTGCTTAACCTGCTCCATAGTGGAAACTTCAGTCCAGTAGGACCAGGGATCAGCCCAGCCCTTCCTCCAAATTTCAAAACAATCCTTTGTCTTACAGTAGTGTACAAAATGATGAGTTAAGATGGAACAACAACACAAATAACTCTGGATATGGCTGAAATGTAGAGCGAGAGGCATGTTCCCCTTAGCTACGTTTGTCAGACTTTGGCACTCAGGGGAAGAGTTCTGCCCTGCAGCTGATGGCGAGTTTCAGGACCACTGGTCCTTGTCTAACACAGAATCAATTCGCTAGGCCTGGGATGGCAAACAGACTCAGCTCGCATGCCAAACTCAATTACAAAGCAGTGGCTGCCTCAGGCCTTTCTGGAGAAAGGTTGAGAAAGCTTGCCAAGGCTCCGTGGGAAGAGTGCCACGATCGATTAGTGATGTCTGCATGTGTCACGACTTGACATCCAGACCCTGGCTGTTCAGTCAGTGGGCTCCAGGTTGACATTGCCAAGTCTGCCCATTTTTTTTTCTGTTTTACAACCACCTTGATATGCTGAGGTACAAGAGTGAGGTACAATCTCAAGAAATCAAAGTGGTGAGGAGAACAACACTGACTGGAACCAGGAAAACTTATGACTTGACTAGGTCAAAGCACATGAGTCCATGAGGCCCAGAAATAACTGTGAAGCGACCCTGACCCTGACCCTGCCTCTGACCCTGGCCCTGACCCTGACCCTGGCTCCCAGGAGCGAGAGCTCACATAAACAAAACAATCCAATTCCTTACAGCTCAGCCTTGAGAAGGTTCTGGAATTCAAAAGGCTTCAAGTTAAACCAGGTTAACTGTCCCCAACAATTCAACATGGATCAAAAGTTTAACTTCCTTAGAAAGATGGGGGCATCTTTACTTTTGAAGCATTTTCAAACTCACCGGCTCATCTCAAAAAGGAACCTATCAGCCTTGGCCATCCGATCCAGTTCATGCTTATGTTCCTCCAACAGGTCAATGTCACTCTTTTCAGGAACAAATTTCAAGAGCTAAAAAGTACACACAAATATTCAAACTGAGGTTTATAATCTAAATTCTTGTAGCAATTTTTCACCCTTTCAGTTAATCTGTCCCAAGATGAAATTTTAACTTTTTGTTAATTTGTAAACTCTGCTCACAGGTGATTCTTAAGATACAATAGAAATGAATAAATCTTTCCATTTTTACTTGAAAGTAGTTAAATTGGTATAAGATTCCTTCCTGGCACCTTTCTGCTCTATTCTGCCTCTCAAGTCAGAACTGTGGAAGGAAGCTCTCTTCCAGGACCCACTTTGCACAGACTGTTAGAGGGAGCCTGGAGATGTCAACCCTCTCATGAGAAGAGGATACAACTGAGTCAAGAGAGATTAAGCCTCTCACCCAGGATTACAAAGCAAGTGCATGTAATCATCAGAAATGGAACCTAGTCTCTTGACTCTCAGCTCTATGCTTTTTCCTATGACTTCATGCTTGAGTGAGTAATTCTATGTACATTTTCCATTCATTTGCTGATTTCTTTGGCTTATCTAATTCCATCTCAGTTTTTGCTCCATGTAGAGTTGGATGAAAGGAACACAGTGGGACTTGAAGTTTTTGATTCCATATTTTATTTTGGAAGAAGAAATGAGCATGGAATGTGGAAGAAATGGCAACAATATTTAAAGTTGAAAAAGCACTTCTGTGTATTTCTGATTTTCTTTAAAGGCACAAACATCAGCAAGTGTATGCACAGGCCTGTGCTTGTGTGTTATTTTGCCCATCAAGTACCCTTGGATATATATATTTTTAATTACACTGACCCTCTGTACCCTGAGATCCTCCCCATAATTTGATGCTGGCATTGGGTGGTCCATTTAGTAGCTTTTCAAATATTTGTAGGATTTAACTAAGGGCCCTCAGCAAAGGCAGTCAGTCTAGGAGCCACCAGCAGAGACAGAGAATTGGAATTACAGGGAAGGAGGTGAATGGTGTGAGGTTGGAAATACATTCCAGGCAGAGCGCATATCACGTGCTGTGGTCTGGAACGGGCAGTGCAGCATTTATGCAGGTGGAAGAGTGGCTGTAACAGCAGGGGGGAGAGCAGTAGGGGGCAAGGCCTGGGAGTAGCAAGGGCCTTATGAGAAGTTCATTCTTTATTTGGAGGGCACAGGATGTAACTTAAAAATCTTAAGTAGGGGAATAAGTTTGCATTTTAAAAAGATCACTGTGCTTGCAGAATGGAGAAAGAATTAGAAGGGATCAAAAGTATTAGGGGTTGTGCTTAGATAGTTGGCGCAGTAATCCAGGTGAGAGAGGATGGTGGCCTAGTCTGGGCAGTCTGGAGTTATTCTAGATTTATCCTAGATTCTAGAGTTATTCAGGGGGTTTTAATAGAACCAGCCTGCTCTATTGATGGATGGAGGGATTGTGGTAGATGAGAGTCAAAAGGATGAGGTCCGGGCTTCTGGCTTAGGCAACAAAGATACACAGAGTGTAACAAAGAACCCACAAAGAGAAGATGGGAGGAGGGCGGGTGGAGAGAAGGTGAGTTTAGTGTTTGAAATCCTGACAAGAAAACCAAGTGGTGATTTCTAGGAGGCAGGTGGACAAATGGGTCTGGAATTCTAAAGAGTTCTGTTTGGAAGACAAAGCAGTGGTGTTTGTTGTAACAGGTAGGGTACTGAATGCAGTGATGATGGGAGTGAGGTAACCAAGGGAACCATCAAGAAAAAAAAAGCAGGGCTGGAGAGAAGCCAGCATTGAAGGGATGAGGACAAGAAGAGGAACCTTCAGAGGAGACAAGAGAGAGGCAAATGTGGTATCACAGGGCCAAAGGAAGAAGGCATATCATCATGGAACAAGTGGCCATCAGTGTCACACCCCACCCAGAAATCAAGGAAGATAAGGACTGCAAAGTGTCCCCTGGCTTTGGCAACAAGGAAGGTGTGTGACCTTAGCGAGAAGAGCTTTAGGGAGGTGAGGAAGACAGACTGCAGTGAGTTGAAGAAGAGTGAATAGGAGGCGAGTGTGGACAAGCTTTCACGAACTGGCTGCATGAAAAAAGACAGAGGACAGCAGCTGGATGGGGATTCGCAGTCTTGAGGGGGGTGTGTGGGGACAGCTGGGACTTGGGCAAGATACACGTGGAGAGGGAGAGCTGGAAGACCTGGAGGGGAGGAGCAGAGTCCTTGGATCCGGCTGGGTCCCAGAGCAGAAGGAAGGGATGGGCCAGAGCGGAGCCAGGGGCAGCCCTCTTTTCTAATGCGAGGAGAGGGGAGAAAGATGGAGAGATGCCAGGGAGTTCACAGGTCTGGTGGCCTGATAGCTTCTATGCATTTATGTTCCATGTCCAAATGGTGACACTAGACATGACAAGTGTCTTCTCGCTGTTCCTCAGTGCAGGGGTCGGGGGAGGGGTGGGAGGCGCATGGGTAGAAGGACAAGGAGAAGCGAGGAGGAGGGAGAGGAAAAGGCTCGTTTTTCCACCTTGGTTTGGATTTTTACCTACTGGGCAAGGAAATTCAGTCCTCATCTCGGGGATTGCCACTCCCACTAGCTGTGCTGAGCCCACAGGCCCCTGCTCAGGATAACACAACCAGTCTCTCTCTTCTGTCACTTACAAGAGCACAGTAAGAGTCACATGCTAACGGTTCAGTCCTTCTCAAAGCAGGGCTGAGTAACGGGCTGTGTATGGATACTCTGGGGAGGAATGTGGAGTTAGACAAATGCCTGGGAATAAGAGAAAGGTATGCATTCCAAGAAAGAGGCAAGTATTGATCTCATCTGAGACCTGAGCTCAGCAGCTAAAAGCAGCAGGAGAGGAGGGAACAAACGTGGCTCAAATGCATATCACAAATAGTGAAGAGATGCTGGCTCCAGCGCTAGTCTGGGGCAAGTGCTATATGAAGGACAAGGAAGCAGAGGAAAATGGGCGAAGATGGAGGAAGAGAATGAGCACGGGAGATGGGCAGAGAGCGAGGCACACAGAATTATCTGGAGATGCTTGGCCAGATTCTGCTTCAGTAGACCGATTTTCTTACTTGTATTTATTTGAAGTACATTCTATTTGTACTGCAAGCCCTTTTGGCAAGATTCTGAAATCCCTTCCCCTCAAGGAGGAATTTTGCTGGATGCAATTTCACAGTAAACAGATCTTGTGGAATTTTAAACATACAACCTTGTCGATAGAAGCTGAAGGCCTAAGGACTAGAGCAGCTTTTTGCGTGCTTCTTCACTGTGCGTGGGCAACTTCTGACACAGGCGACTAGAGTGCAGGGTCGCCTGGGGGCCAGGAGGGGCAGAGGGGGCCTGGGCTGCCGGCTCTCGGGACAGGGGCTCTGTTTTGACTGATGTTCAGAGAGGGAGGAAAGAGTGTGCAGAGGAGCTGTAAAACGCTCTAAAAAATGAATTTTAGGAATTACTTTTAAACTATTCATACACAGAGCATCCTAACAGACTTGGAAACATAGTCATTAACAATTTTGATAACTAAAGCTCCCCTTAAAAGGAGAGCATGAAAAGTGTTTCCACTGCTAAGTGTAAGGACCACTGCCCATGCAGAGGCTTTGGGGAGGGGCAAGTCCACACCAGGGCAAGGCAAGGGGCAGTGGTGACACTGCACACATCGCTCCCCCCTGCTTTGTGTCTGAGGCCTCTTGGGACATCAGTGAGAACCATGGAAAATGCACCTGCAGACAAACAGGCCCTCTACCCTGAGCCAACTCACCACCCAGGATCACAGTTAGTGGCACAAAATGTCCTTTTCCTCTGCTCTTGGGAGCTGAGCATGCCTACAGACAAGACCTCAAGTTCAGCCCAGAATCATGATTGCTTGTGTCCACAGTTGACCTTAGGTGGACCTGGCTCTAACAAACATGGAACTCTTGACCAAAATCTCTCAAAATATGATTCCATCCCAAGGACAATGAGACGAACAGACAGAACAGTCCTAAAGCTTTTCGAAACGATCTGCGTGAAGCATAGACAGATACGGCCCAGACAAAGGGAGAAGATAATCCCTGGCCTGGAATACCTGCTGGTTCAACAACTCTGTCATTTGGGGACAACTCAATGATTCTGCTGAACCACACAGAACACGGTTGGAGCGGCTACACCGAGCATGTCACAGAAACACCGCGTGAAGACAGGCTGGTGCACCACGTTCGACTTGCTGCCTGGCCATGGGAAATACAAATTATCTCCAAATACCACGGACAAGGCTGTGTGCTGACTGTGTGTAAACCTATTGCACACTTGCTAGCCCTGGCATTTGAATTCCCTGCCATTACAGCACAAAAAGAGTGCCACACAAGTAATGGAGACAAGACTCAGCCCCAAGAAATTTCTGCCCCACCTTATGACACGTACGAGTATTCCGAAGTAGATGACAGTGCCAGGGGTTAACAGTGGCTTCTGTGATTGTGGGAATGGTGAGCCAAGATCAAGACACAAATTGTGTTAAGGATCTGGAAATGAATCAGTTTACATAGTCCAGTCCGTAATCTCAGAGCACTAAGAGATTCTCCATATTCCTGTGAAAGACAGATTTTCCACGAAAGCTAGTAGATTTATATGACCTACTAAAGCATAATAACTGCAGCATGAGGGCCAAAATCTGGCATTGTGCATCTCAGGCATTTAAAAAACTTGTCACCTTCCTTCTCATCCATCATTTTGAGGAGGAATGACACGATAACGTCATAAAGTCTCCTAACAGAGCCCCATGGAACCTTGGTTCAATCTCCTCAATTCAGAGGAGAGGAAATCGTCTACCAGCAACAAGCAGGTTTTCTCAATATCCCACGTCCTGCTGAAAGTCAGCTGTCACTCTTCTGGCTCACCTGCTCCAACATGTCCTTGGGCAGATCTTCCTGCTCGTCCATTGTTAGAATTGCTCGTTTGATTTCATCATTGGATAATTTCAACCTGCAGAAAGAATATTTTTGGTTGTTAACAATATTGGCTTGTGTATTAAAATTTTATGCAAGATCATTCCTTTTGCTACTCCAGCTGCTGATTTTCAAGCACTGTTTTTCTCAAAATCTCTCAGTGAAGGCTTATTTCCTGACAATGTTGCACCTAAAAATAGTATTTTGAAACTGCTTTAACATTCTTTCAGGGCTTTGTAATGCTCTGCTGACACAGAGAACAAAGTTATGATGTTCTACTGTTTAGTTTCTTTAAGCAAGGAATTGGAAGATGAGAAATACGGACAACACCCATACACAACTGCTTTATCTTACACTACCCATGAACGGCAGGTGAAAGGAGAACTAAATTCTTAGTTTGATTACATGTCAGGAGTGTTTAAAGTTTGCTGTCATACTAAAAATGGATTTTAAGGTTAGAATCTATGTTACTGTTAAAAAATTAAATAGTTAATATAAAAAATAAAATGTATGAGTACTTCACAGTTAAGGAGTTTTCACATACGCTATTTCATTTGAGCTTCAAAATAATTATGATGGTCTTTTTTAAAAGAGGCAGAAACTGAAGCTCAGAATGCCCAAGTGATTTGCCCAAGGTCAAACAGAGAAAGTGGCAGCACTGAACACAAACCCAAGACTCTTGATTGCTAATCCCAAATTCTTTTTATAAATATTGTTTATCTAGTTAATATCTCATAGATAAGGACTTAAGCAAAAACACAAATCTATTTTCTGTCTACCATAAATTCATATGATTTACTAATTTAATCAAGGATTTATGTCTTGATTATGTCACGAAAACAAAGTGTTGACTACAAAAAGAGTCATGAAATTAAAACATACTTACAAAAATGTGTTTTTGTTAGGTACAACCAATAGTCTTAACCAGGGCAAAACATCTTAATCAGATTATTAGCTGTGATAATGGAGTCATTCTTCTGTTCTATTTGCACTCATTAGACCTCGACTTATCTAAAAAATCTTACTTCCTTAAAAGCTACCACTAGCTTATAACACTATTTATATGAACACACTAATACCATTTGATCTGTTCTTCTAGTCTATGATCTTAAAGAAGAACCACCTTTAGGGCTGGACAAAAAGGCATAAACACACACGCAGAGCAAGACGTGCAGCCTTCACACGTAGTGTCTGAAGGAAGGGGCTTTGGCATTAGAAAGGCTGGACCCCAGCCCTGACTCTGGCACTTTCTTGCCGGTGTAAACTTGGAAAAACTCTTTAAGCCTCAGTTTTGTCATCTATAAAACAGGAATAGTAACAACTACATCAAAAAAAGGCAAGCGTGTGTGTGTGTGAATAAGTGAAATAGGGCAGGTGAAGTGCTTAGCACAGTGCCTGGCCCCAGAAAGGGCTCAGTAAACTGTATGTATATTCTGCAAGACAGACTTTTCTACAGCAGAACAGAAAACAGCAGTGCTTATATAACTTGAATCTTCACATGCAGCTCTTTCATCATTAAACGGTGCTTAGTAGGGTTATTGTGAACACTTCACAAAGTACCTTGTACCCACCATTTCACCTGAGTTTCTCCTTTTTTTATACAACACCCATTAGGCTGGGTGTATTAAAAAAGAATTAGAAAACGGGGTCCTTATTTTAAAGGTGGTGATGTTTTGGAGAATCAAATGATAAGCTGCAACACTCAAGACACAAGGGTAGGTAAAGCATACTCAGTCACCTGTGCTGTCACAGGGAAGTGGGGCTGATGCGTGCAGGTGTGGACATAAGGCCATGTAAGGAGAAAAGAACTGGGGTGGAGCTGGATGAGACACATGGCACTCTGGACACCTCTGGCTTGTCCGATTCTCTAGATTTTGACAGGATCTTGTTAACATCATCCATCCTGCCATTGAAACTGAGTACTGTTTCATGTGCCAATAAGTAGGGAAGGGAAGGAACAAATTTGGGAATCCTATTGAACTAATAGCATTCTTTTTTATTTCGTGGTTTCAAATCTAAATATAATATCTAGGCAAAATGCCAAATTGTCCACGTTCTAAAACAAGACCCATTCCATCACCTAGTCTGAGTTGCGGGGCCATCAGAACTGCCAGGCTCTGGACAGCAACCCTGGACCTGGGCAGACTTCTCCAGATTGTTTTGGTCATTCTTGGGACAATCATTGCTTCATCAACATGTTCACAAGAACATCATGATGGAAATCCCCAAATTTAACTGGAACAATTTAGCCAAGTTGGCATGGGTAAAACATCTGAGAGGGGAAAGCCTGTATCAAGATCTCCCTGTGCGGGGCCCTGGGTAGCCCGAGATTCCCGACACAAACGGCTCTCGAGTCAGTTAGGGGCAAAGGCCACACGGCGGCCATGCAAGGCCAGGGAAGAGGAACATCAGGGAGGGCTGAGACTGCCGCTAATGAGAACCAACTGGCTGTGGAAACATCTACAGTCATCAGGAGAAAAGCTCTGCTTATAAGAAAAAAATAAATTATTTCTGTGTCCTTTCACACCGAGCTGAAGAAACCACTTTATGGTGTAGACCTGCTGCGTCCTTCTGTTTTGCATTTAAAAGAAAAGGAGTTGAAAATCAGAGTGAGTACAATACTTGAAGTATCAGATTTGCATTTCATCAGCTGCCCATATGGAGCACAGAACTTCTTGCTTTTGAAATTGTATATATTTATGCTCTTCAACCCCCAGAGGCTGTCTGGACTAAACATTAGCTCTAATTCGTAACAATTTTGGTTTCTCTTAATGTGGCCCACAAAGAGACTTGAGACTTTAATGGATGGTACTCAAGAAAATCTACCTGTCAACATACTGCCTTGCACGTGGCTATTGGAGCAGACAAAGACACCGCACCTTTGGGGACAGAGGAGAAGGGCAGGCTGCGCTCCAGGACGCTTCCATAGGTTGCCGAGCTCTTAGTATCATCTGTCATCCACAAAATGAGTTGCTAATCTCTGTAATTTAAGGACCCTCCCAATTCTAACCTTTTAATTGCTTTTAAAGCTTGGCAGTGTTTTGGTGTGCTGGAGGGTGACAACTGTTGAGACATCCACTTCAACTCTCTTTACAAGGCAGGAAACAAACGGGCCATTTTAAAACAGTATTTAACTCTACCTTGCTCTACTCAAGTATGTCAAAAATTTGCCAAGAGAATTCGAACATCCAGGCGTAATTAAAATAAGTTAAGGATGAATGGCTACATCAGCCTTAGCTCTGCCTCAGTGGATTTAAGCAAATCCCCTACTTTAAAGTAGCTTTTTGTGGGTTACTATACCCTGGCTACCATGTTAAGGGAGCATCTGGAAAAAAAGTATGGCAGAACACTTCATAAAAGTGGATTTTACGTGGGTTCATTTTGCAATATAAACCAGCTTCCAAGTTTTTCTGTCTTATCTTTTTTTTTTTTCGGAAAGGAGAGGTCTGTTTTAGGAAATAAAGCACAGTAAATTTCAAATTGCCACATGTCACATATACACATGCCGTAGAAAAGTTATTGCTTGCTCTGCCTAGGGCCTGAGGCATGGATTTCCCATTCTGAGGTACATTGTGTCCGTTCCCCTCTCGTCTCCAGTCTGCGAAAGGCAGGGTCCCCTGTGGCCTGGAGTTTCTGATTCAAACACATACCTTCCAGGCAGTCTCCTTCCAGGGGCTGTGAGTGACCCTGGCCCCTCACCCTGTGAGCCCCATGCAATGAACCTGCACTTCTTCCTCTGCTTGGCCCCTGGGATGGGACAGGCTTTCCTTCTGACCACCTCCTCAGCTCCAGGCGGGCCCGTGGCAGGTGCCCTTGACCAAATGGTCCACTAACTTTTTCAGTGTGGGGTAAGGAAGAGCCTGAAAGGATAAGCGATCACTGCAGACACATGCAGTCATTGAAATATAGCCCACAGCACATGCCGCAGGCTTTTCCTGTGCTGCAATCTGGTGTAATGACTGCAATGCTAGGAACTAGAGAGGGGCGCCAGCCTTGGGGGTGAAATAAGCAGAAAGGAAGAAAGATAAAAGTGTGGAAAGAGAGGAAATCTTGACATCAGCTTGGAAACATTCCTGTTCATTGTCCCCATGCATAAAATCAGTCTCCCGAGTCCTGCTGAGGGCTTCCTCACCTCTCTTGAGTCTGCCCCTCATGAGGTCTCACCTGGACAGCGGAAAGAGCCTCCTATCTGGTGGCTGCCCTTGCCTCCAGCTCTCAATGACTTCCAACCTATCCTGCTAATCCTGGAGAGATCAAACCTGCACCTTATTAAAACAAAGCTCCCAAACAATCTGCACCAACTCCTGATCCCATGAGTATATACACAGGCCACTAGCTAAGTAGCCACCACATGCAGGCAACCTGCCAGGGGCTTCCATGCACTTGGTCTAATTCTCCCAGGCCCACTGCAAGGCTACCACTTCATCACCTCCATTTCAGACGAGAAAGGCACGGCTGCCCCTGGGCTGCCCCTGCTCTCACAAAGGCTGCAGGCATGGGTCTCAGGCTCTCCTGCCTGGTCTCACGCCATCCAATCGGCAACCGCTGTAATGCAGGGCTTTCTTCACTAGCTGTGCTTACGGCCCTCTGGGGCCTGCACTCCGGCGGCTCGCCTCCTAGGCACTGCCTCCCACCCTCCTGCCCACGTGACTGTTAGCGCCCTTCGAGACCCTCTGTCTCTGGTAAGCCCTGTCAGTGCCCACCTCACTCAGCTGAGCTCCCGTCTCCTTCCAGTCAGACCAGTGTAAGCCCTGAACTGTTCACAAGTCATTTCGCCTGTGTCATGTTTCTCCTCCAATTAGCCATGAGCTTCCAATGGCAGCAGTGCTGTCTTAAGTCTTGGTACAGCCTATGACACCTGGCAGAGTGTCAGGCAAATAAATGCTCCAAAGTGAGAACTCTCTAAGAAAAGAGTATCAAACACACTTTCACATCTCCCGTCCCTCCTTTAAGCTCTGGCTCCTTCTGTCTGTAGTAACGCAGTGCCAACCAAAAGGGGAGAATGAAAGTGAGGTAAACCTCTGACTGATTAAACAACTAAATGAAAAACAAATTAAAATTAAGTCTACTTCATTTCTTTTACCTTATCACAGCACATGTAACAGGTCAGCCCTGTGCTCTCCTGATGAGGGAATGAAACTATTGATCATGGGGCAGAAAAGCATGTGCGACTAAAGCCTCTGTGGGAGAGAAGGTTCTCGCACCTGATCAATAAGGCTCAATTACCATAAGCTCAACTGGGACTCACTTTGTTATGCACAATACACTTTTTAATTATGCTCATCATAATAACACATATTTATTAAATTGGATTTTAATAGACAATCAACAGCTACGAAGCAAGTCCCTAAAATTGTCTTCTAGAGAGAGCTGAGACACATTCAGGTTCTAAGTCATCTTAGGCTCTGACGCTTTTGCAGTAACAAGGGAATTACATACCACAAATATAAAATAATTCTTTCAACAATGGGATGATAAATTTGCCAGAAAGAGTTGTAACCTTATCTATAACTAATCTAATTACCCTGGTTGGCACCTGGTACCGAGAGTAATCCGTCTATGAGGAACTGGGACACAGTTTCTACTCCTACGAGCACTGAAATACTACCGAAATTCAGAGTGATAGCTCCTATTGTCAAGTTAAAGTGTTCATCTACACTGTGAAAGCACAAAATATAGGGAGAAATTCTAGGATTAAAAGGGAACTTTCCTCAAATTTTCAATTAATTTTGCTATTAAGTAAATGTTATTTGTAAAAAGAAATTGTAACAACACAAATTGTACACACCACAGAAGAAAAATTAGTAGGCCTTCAAATTACTTTTGATGGTGTCTCTCTGGGCATGTGTTCAGGGAGAAAAGTGCGGTAACTAAAGGGCCTGGGCATTTACACAGCTTCCAGCTGCACACAGAAATGACATGCTAACAAGATGGCTCATGTTACCTGACTAGTTATGTTAAAATTCAGTGATCTCACTCAGCTTCAATTTCTCTTTCACTAAAAGCACCATTTGCTCCCTAAAGTAACATCTACCTGGCTAACAATCAAGCTTCCTGCAGAAAACCAGACAGTGGCTCTTTGTGTTAAAAGAAACTCACTCTAAGACCATCTAAAAAATAAGGACAACTACTTTCCCTCTTTATTCTCCCTGAAAGAGAAGACACCTTACACCAGCCTCAATGCATATACAACATTCTTTCCAGAATGTAACCAACGTGACATACATAATGCCCCAAAGTTCAGGATTCTTTTCATCTTCATTCACCTCCTAAGCATTCAGTATCTGCCTAATGTGAAAGTCCCTTTCAGAGAAAAGAAAGCAGATCTAGAAAAGCTACTTAAAATGCCCAGGATGACCTAACACATTGCTTGAAGCTACAATCAGATTCCAGGCTCCCAATTTCCTTTCTTCTTTTCAAGTGCCAAGGCCGTGATGGTTCACTAATTATGAGAAAGATTGCTGAACAGGGGCTGAACTGGATAAATTAGCATTTCACTGAGGTTTGAGATTTACGTATCTCTTTAGTTGAATAAAAGTGTTCAAAAAAAGCATGAAATCATATAACCTTGAAGTACAAAAAAGATGACTTTAAAAGCAAAATAATACAAAGCTTCATGGTGGGTGCCGATTCTATGACCCTGTTCCTCAATGGCCAAAATACCTCTACAGCCAAGAAGTACAAGTAAAATGCATTTTACAGGCTCTCTGGGAAATACAAACAAACAAACAAACATTGATTTGGGATGTTCTGCTGTTTACATTTAGGAGTCTGTGGAAATTCTAAGAAAGTAGACATCCGGCTCTGATACATTCACCTAGGGAAAGTGAGCACCAAGGTTCTCCTCACCTTAAACAGAAGAGGGTCTAATGAACTGGCCCTCAGCAGAGCCCAGTGAAAAGAACAAGTAGAAACATGAGGTTTGCAGCCAGATGGTGGAAAGGTTGGTCCTACCAGAAATGTTTATTCAGTATCAACAGTACCTCGATAGAAGGATGTTGCAGTTCTGAGCTCTCCGACCATCAATCACCGAAAGCTCTTTGACCTTCAGTTTGGAACTCAGTGTGTCATCAATGGCATCTGCTTCTTTCTATAAAGAGCATGAAAGAAATCCATCAAAGTCAAATAGGGACATTCCATCTTCAGACACACACTTTATGTTTTCTGTTTACACACACACACACACACACACACACACAGAGACAAAGCTGAGATGGTGAGGAGGGGAGCGTAGGGAGGTGGTGGAACTGAAACAAAGGCTAAAATCTAGTTGATAAAGGGAAATAAGAAAATCTGGCCACCCACATTTGAAAATACATTGTTTGGAAGAACAAAGCGCTTCTAAGTTGAAGATGCTAAGCCCGCATAAATTATCAGCGAGTGGAGCCCTCCCTTTGTCCCCCAAATCCCTATGGCTTGCAGACAGAAGAACTGTCACTATGAATCAAGCTCAGCTGAGGCTTGCCATCGCTGGTCCAGCCATTTGCAGGGCCCATTCAACCCAGAACCATTTGCATCCTGGGCACTCAAAAAGCTAAACAATAAAACTTCCCAAACTTCTTCATGTACCACAGGAAGCTCCCTAGCCCAGATGGTACCTTTCGTTACCCTGGAGCCTGATGGACAACGTGGAGGGGGCGGTTCAAGGCATTAGTTCAATTACTTAAATTAACAATAAAAGACTACTTGTGTACTCTGCTGCCAGACAGAAAGCTGTGAGCAATAATGGCCAGTCATAATGGTGGGAGAGGCATACAACAATTATATGTAAAATCAAGGTAAAAACATAGACTAACTTGGTAAATACCAAGTTTGATTTTATTAGAGGTCATGATTAATTTAAACAATAGATGATGGCACTTTAAAAATGTAAGGAAACCAAAGAGCTCTGGAACTGTATTAACGGTTTAAGAAACAAAGATGACATGGAGTTTATAATAAGAGGCACCATGTAACCAAACTTCAACTGTCTCTTGTCATGTCGCGATTTCAGGCATACCTCTAAATATTCAGTTAAGAGTTAAAACTCAACATGGAATTACCCAGACATTGCATTACACTAACTGAAAAAAACGGGATAACCAGGACATTTTGAACTTATAGTGAGCCAAGGAGTTACACTAAGCAAGGTTTGGGTAGTAGCTCACTTACCTGCTTGGAGTTACTGTTCACAAAGAAATCCTACAGCCATGGCAGAGGCATGGAAAAGGCAAATCAGATACATGCTGTTCAGAAATTACAGCAAAAAACGGGGGAAAGTCAAAGCAGTGAAGGAAATCAGTGACACAGGGTAAGAGATGATTTATGCCCCTAGGAGCAGCAACGAGAGCTGATGGAGATGAGAGTGCCTGGCTGAAGATACAATGAAGAGCCCAGTCCTAAGCATTCAGGGTAGAGAGAGAAGACGGCACATGCTGTACACAATTTCCAATGGTGGCAAGTCAAACTCAGAAAAAAAAGGACTTAAAACACCCCAGAGAGACCCAAGTTAGCAAAGGGACAAGTCCTCTTTGAAAGGTGCACTGGGCTTCATTTACTCAACATGACAATTTTTACTTGAAGCAGGAAAATATCAATCAATTCCATCAACTTGAGGAAACTACTCCCATTGTCACGTACTACCAGCAAAATGTTTTTGGGTGGAAATAATCTCCTGTCTTTTTGTGTCATAGGAAGGATTAAGAAAAGATAAAAGACAAGTTCAACGACATAGGTCAGTAATATTAACCCTCAACGCCCTCCGAGAGTCCAAACAATGCCTGTGGTTGCTATGGTAGGTATGAGGAAGAAGACAGGATGTGTAATTAAGAGACAATAAGTGATTCATGTGGTGTGCAGCCATTGGTGGCCCTGTCCCAAAGAACTCGGGGCTGTTCAAGCACACAAAGTCAACTGCCTCTTCTTGAAATAGTTCATAGGAAAGACTTGCAGTAAAGAAGGGAAAGAGGAAGAAGTAATCGACATGTTATGAGAAAGTTAGAGCTTTCTGTGCATATTTTTGCCATGCTAGCATGAATAAAGCTTCGGTGTGCAAAATACACTTCAGCTTTCGGGCCAACTGCTTGCACAACCAGCATTTGCTCAGCAGATTCCTTAAGGCCTCGTTGGCCCTGGCAGTACTGCCAAGGCCAATTTTACACAGATGAGCTGTTTCACATCATTCTTCTGGTGGGAAACAAAATGCGTCCTTCCCTTGCTCCACCCACACAAGGAGATTGCTTTTCTAGAATGGCATTTAAAAAATAAATTGATAACCACAAGAAACCTTTCTTCTCTCCTGATGTCACAGTTTTCTTTTGTCCCTGTTGTGACGATCAAGTTTTCTACTCTGAAGCTCCTTAGGACTCTTTCTCTGTAAAAGCAGTTTCTCTTTTCAGGGGCAGAAAAAACCACAGTGAAGTGAACTCCATGAGATTATCTTACCCTACCTTTCTCTGTTAAAGAGACAAGTTGCTAGTTGAATTTAGACCCTGCTCTCACGGTCTGGCCTTCAAAGAAGAAACTTCTACGAAGTTCTCCAGCAACTCATTCTCCCTAAGTTCACACTGTCAGGAAATTAAGACTTCTGACCTCTACTGTAGTGGGGTATGGAATCAGGCAACTGTCACTAGCTAGTGGTGTGGCTTGGGGCTCAGTCTCGCTATCTGTAAAATGGGGTTGACAACTGGATTCTTATTGTGAGGAATCAATGCGATAATGCACGTAAAGCATTTTGTACAGTACCTGACACATAATTATGAGCTCAATACTTGGAAACTATCATTCAATTCAATTATCTTTCAAGCTGATGATCAAGCCCATTTTTTCTCCTATTACTCTGCTTTCAGCTGAGTTCAAGAACAGCTGGTCAAGATCTCCCATTTGTAACCAGTGGCAGCAATAAGTTTAACAGTTAGTAGCTAAGTAATGTATCTTATCTTTCAGGAGGTAAGGAGAAGGAATGCGATGGGAGAGTTTGGTTAATTATTAGCCTAAGATTCCCTGCTTTAGGAGTCCTTTAATTATCACATCTTAAATAAAATCACAAGCTTATTAGATGGGGTATGTTAAAAATAATGATTCCTCCAGGCCTATTTCAAATAGGTTAATATTCTTTTTGAAATCTTAAATTATTTACTAATTAGCTTGGGCCAAACATGATAGAATCGTCTATATTTGGCTCCACCTCACAGGATGTCTGATTTTTCCAGACGACTTTTGCTATAGGGTTTAGGGCTTGGGAGATAAATAGGAAGTTGGAACTTGGATTTTCGGGAACCAGTGCTGATAGATTCCTACAGATAGGGTTCCATAATGAAACAATGACTTAACACTTCATGGATAATTATAACCCTTACATGAATGGTTCCTAATCTTTTTGAGGTTGTGATCCCTTTGTAAATCTATAAAAGCTGGGGATCCCTCTCCAGAAAAATGCATACATTAATATTCATATAAAACCCTGCGTTGATTAACTCTTACCGTGGAGTCCAGTTATAGAACCTCTACCTTATACTGCGGTCCTAAGGAAAACCATCACTCACAATTTTCTCTTCTGCCTTCATGTGCCACGGCTAAGGACCAAGATGACTGAAATAAATGTCCCAAATCATAACAATTTTTCAATGTGAAAACTAGATATACAGAATAATGAAAAATATAAAAAGAATAAAAAAGGAAAATTCTTTGACCATTTATGAAAAATGAGAAAATACCAATGACTGTTCCAAATGGGACCCAAGAATGACTTGTATGTTACACATTAGCAGGAGAGGTCAGATTCTGGAGCCTGGGAGAGCAGAGACCCTTTGTTTCTTAGACCAGAGCTGAGAGGCTTGGAAATGTTAGACCATTTGCCCTAAAGAAGAGGTGTCCTCAGGCAAAGAGGAGGGAGGAGGAGCGGAGATAGTGAGCTGTTAATTTATTGCTACAAAGATATGACTCCCTTCAGGTAAATGTAAAGTCCATTTCCTCTGTCCAACTGCATGGATAGGGAGAATGAATTTATAATATCTCAAGACGAAAATTTCCCACAAAAACAGGATGAATGTTGTTTAATTGTATCTGAAATAGTACTACTCTGCAATGCTCTACGTTACATACTAAAATAAGTCTTTTGTGGCTGGCCTGGAAATCATGTATAATATAGTTTCAATGAGAAAAAGAGGTTCTGAGATTCAAGAAATTGACTTTCAAATGAACTTTTGGAATGTGAGCAGGGGAATAAGCGCACGCTATTAAATTCCATTCCATGTGGCACCTAAGCTTACACGATCAGCTCTGCACACCGTTGATAGCCACATGGAAAAAAAAATCCTGAATAGGAATGCTCTTGTTCTTAAAACTGGAGTTAAAGAAAATCCTTGCAAAGCCTGAACTTCATAATGAATAAAACCACGGCTTAACAACAAAGTGAAACTGAGAATTACGCCACTTGTAGCCCTGACTGTGCCACCTATTCGGACAATGAATACACACTAAGCTATAATTTTATTATCTGTGAAATAGGAATAACACCCACCTCACAGAGTTGGCATGAGATTAAAAAATAAGTATAAGAGGGGCTGGCCCCGTGGCTGAGTGGTTAAGTTCGCGCGCTCCGCTGCAGGCGGCCCAGTGTTTCGTTGGTTCGAATCCTGGGCGCAGACATGGCACTGTTATCAAACCACGCTGAGGCAGCATCCCACATGCCACAACTAGAAGGACCCACAACGAAGAATATGCAACTATGTACCGGGGGGCTTTGGGGAGAAAAAGGAAAAAAATAAAATCTTTAAAAATAAATAAATAAATAAATAAATAAATAAATAATAAGTATAAGAGCTCCTTGAGAACCCAATTTTAGGGTTGATGAGATTGGGAACTGTGTATATCATACCCAGCACAAAAAATATATGGATACTTAATATTGACTATCATCTTTCAGTCTATCTTATAGCTATTTACAGATTTTCCTCATCTTAGCTTTTATACTCTAAGTTGCATTGTAGGCCTGTACCACAGTTTAATATATTTACATCCTGTGAAGTACTTCATATACAAAGCAGACAGTATAAATATCTATTCTGATTTTAATGATACAATAATTCTCAAATCAACGGGGCATATCTTGTATGTACGTATGTAAATACAATTATATAAAATCTTTCCTAAATGTCATTAATCAGTGTTCACCTAAATTATACTAATCTAATACTTGAGATTTTTTCAAACTCTTACTCTGTGTAGCGTTCCTGTTGCATGCATGCAGATAATAGTATTCATGTGTTCCTTTGCCTCTCTGAGAAACTTACTTGGCTAAATAAGCAGCTGAAGTCCAGAGAGTTTGAGCAGGGTTTTATAACCTTGGAAGAAGAGGACATACCATAGAAAAAATAGCTTCCCAGTATTCATTTGGGAGTGGAAAAGAGAGCAGTTCAAGTGTGATGGTAATTATATAGTGCACTGCCAGGGCTAAAATGAAAATGCACAGTCTTTGACATTGCCATTAGTAGTGAGACAAGGTGACATTCAATGACAGGCACTCCATTTCCTTTATTCTCTCCTACATATTCCTACTAGAATATAAGCATCTTTCGATGTTGATAGCATCTCTCTCCCAACATTCAGTAAATTCAATAAAATGGCTCAAATTACCTTCATTTGGGAAACATATTTATGGTTTAAAAATTCTCATCTCAAATTCTTGCACCAAGAGGAGAAACATACTTGAATCTAGCTGAGCAGGTGTGTTGAAATTTTTCTCTAGAAAGTGCTACTGAAAATGTCACAAATGATTCCACTTACCAGTCTACTTAGTGTTAAGTACAACTGAAATGTTCTGGTCTACCCTGATAGGAATGACTACTGATTACTTAAACAGTGATTGGTTGCTAGGAGACAATTACCCAATTGCTACGCTTCCTGCAACCCTGTCTCCCAGAGCTCTTGAGAACTGTCCACATATTTTCCCAGAGCATTTTGGCAGCATCCTTCTGCACCTTGTGCTGAAAGCCAGTTAATTAAGAATCTTGTAAACTTGGATCTTTCAACCACCTGCCTTCATAATAAATACAACCCACATGCTCAGACTTGAACAGCAGCATTTTGAATAACTGTTGTTTTCCTTCTATTAGTTTACTTCTTTAAGTTCCCAAACATTCATCTTAAGCAACCAGAATGAACCAGTATTATTGATGGAAACTGAAGTGAGAATCAATGGGATGTGTACTGAAGTCAGAAGATTATTTGAATCTGCCAGGAAATTTACTAAAATGTACTAAGAGTTCATGTCAAGGCCCAGCAGACATCTTCCTGGGACAGCAGAGAGAGAAAGGCCTGTTGTAGCTAATCATGAATGAGTCTGGTCCGAGCGCCTGTAGTATAAGGGCTCTAAACACATCTTTTGTTTGTCCTTTGAAAGATAAAGTGTTTTGCTTTCTACCCAACAGTGTCCTATCATCTTTTCTTCATTTTTCTTTACTTGGTGTGTATGATATTGCACAAGTTTGCCTTCATAATTATAGCGAGCCCCAGGTGAGGGGTCCTGTTTAGGGTCATGCTGCCATGGCAGGCAATCCCCTGCATTTTTGTACTTTACTAAAATAGCATAAAATGCACTGCAGAGCAGATTTCCTCTAAGAGAAAATATTCCGGCTAAAGGAATACCACTTTTTCTTTTCAATTGCAGATGCATCAGAGGCCAGTTTGAAAATAACAACCCTCAGCTTTTGTTCCCCGAGCCTCAGTCCGTCTTCTCTCTCAGTGCTTGGCAGGTCTGTTCTGAGACACTCTTTCTTGGGAACCAGGCCAAACCTAGGCAGACTAGGAAGTCTGCTGCTTGTCTGAGGATGCTCCACCCTGGGCTGATTCACACGGTAGTTAAGGGCCTCCCAGAAAAGCCCATGGAAAGCCCCTGCGCAGATGCCCAGCATTCATGTGTCCGATTAAGATGCACTCTGCTCTCTTTGTCATTACTCCCTCAGTCTTCCTTAAGAATCTTTCTCCTCAATACTCCACGACTCGGTGTTTCCATTCCCAGGTCTCTAACTGACTGATTGGGACCGCACTCCAGGGCTCACAAAGTGACGCTGACTACTTGGCCACGTCAGCAAGCACCAAATCATGTTCTCACTACTATCATGAAAGCTTTGCTCACTTTTCAGAAGCTCCCCTGGTCCTATTTGATTCACTGCCATCCCCAGACTTGCTTAGACTTTGAAGCCCCACTTCTGAGTTGATGGTATTCATGACACACAGTAAAAACTTCTCTCTAGGTTGTATCTAGCCACCAAATTATAGTCATCTACCAACCCCCATACAATTCTAAAGGTTCAATCTATTTCAAAAACCAGTCTACTTCTGATAATACCATTTGATATATATACACTTACATTTAAAAGTCAGACAAAGGAAGATGGCTTCAGAAACACCATGAGGTGGCAATACAAGTTAGGTAACTCACCAACTAATATTTTCTCCTGGTGACCCATTTTGACTAAGCACAAGTGATAATAAGACACAGAACTTCTACCAATGGAGACAAGGTCTTGGACTCTAATCGGGGTTTGAAGCTCCCTAATAAGGAGCTTATTTACCTTCAGAGTGTTCACACACACACACTGATGGGCACCTAGACACACATGGGGACACACACGCACCATGCTGCTTTGCAGGAACACGCCAGAGGAGACCAAACAGCCTAGAACTAAGAAGTTTATCGTATCGTGGTTACGGCCTCTGGCTCAGGGAAAATGCATGAGGACATGATTTTTTACTTTTCCAGCATCTGGAGGGCACATGCTATTACCTGCTGTCTTTGGTAAGCTGAGAAAGTTCTTTCCAGGTCTTCAAGATCTAGAATTTTGAAGACTTTTGTATCATCAATATCAGTCCATACTGTTCCTTCCAGTTTGTTCTGCAAACATTAAGTTAATAAGTGCCAGGATTTATATTATACACAAAAAGAACATACGTGGTTATTTTTTAAAAAGTGCTGCTATCCCCAATTTTTCATCCTACCAGATGCTCAAAGTGAGTTGGCTCAAACAACCTGTCATTTATTTCAGAAGCTTTAACACTTAAATATCTCAGCTGGTGAGAATCCCAAGTTCATTCTAGAAAATGAGATCATTTAACAGACAGGGCTATTTCCCTTTGGGGACAAGGCTGTAAGCTGCTAATGCTGTCCATCAGAGGGCATTGGAACAAATGACTTACCTCAGGCAGCTTAGACCAGTTGAAGGATTTCAGGGCATTTGTGGGCTGAGGAATGTTTTTCTTCTTAAGTGCCAGACCCAGAGGAGCGCCAGGAGGTGGCATGACTCCCCCTAAGGGAGGAGGTCCTGGGGGAGGAGGCGGGCCACCCGGAGGGAGGGGTGGGGGTGGAGGAGGAAGTGTTCCACCTGGTAGAGCTGGGGGCGGTGGGGGAGGAAGCAGAGACCCCAGCACAGAGGAAGGAAAGGGCCCCCCTGGGGCTCCAGGGGAGGGTCCGCCAGGGACTGAAGCACAGACAGCCCTCTGAAAAGACAAAACAGGAAAAAGAGGGTCGGTGGAAGACGTAAACTCATCGGATGATTTAGAGAGTCTGAAACTTTCCCTAAAATCTATATTATAGAGAAACCCATGCTTCGGATAACATGGGTTTAAAGGGGCAGCAAGTCAAACGGACTTTTTAGGGCCTTCATGGCCTCTACTGGGTCAGCCCTTTGCATTGGCACTCTAGCGCTTGTTTGCAAAGTGTTCACGTCTCTCACTTCTTGCACCACCGTGCGGTTTGGTTTTCATGAAATTGGTTTTCATTTTAAGAAGCTAATGTGATTTCACTTGCTCTTATTAGAGGCTCTGTATTGAAAAACGCATACCCTAACCCCCTCTGCTGCCTCGTCCACACGCTAAATAGAGGGAGGAAGTCTCACATCCACCTTGAGAAATCACAAGATGGTTCAGGTTTTATTCACCCGTCAGGAGCCACCTACTTAAGGACTAGGGCTCCAGAATAACTGAGGCCTTAGCAGCTGCCCAGAAACAGAAGACGTGGCCCGCGGCCCTCAGGCCTCACCCTGCTGAGCTCGTGGAGCTGTGCCGTGAGATCCGCCACCTGCTGCTTGACTTGCTTGTGCTCAGTAGTCTCCTTTTCAAGTTTCTCTTTCATTTTATTTAGGGTCTGCATCATCTCTTCCTTCTCTTGGGTCTTGGCGTCACATTCTCGCTCTTTCTTCTCCAATTTCTGTTGTAACTCATTGTGCTCTATGCAGGAACACAATTGCACATGAAAACAAGGGACTCTTCAAAGCTGAAGAAGCATTCTCTCTAAATAGAAAACTGACTGAGGATGATTGCAAGGCTGTTTATTAGGTAAGTATTATTCCTCGTCTCCGTCAGAGGCAGCAACCCGCGGGCTCACGGGTGTTCGTACTTAGAGGGGGCTTCAGATGAACAACTTTATAAACTACACTTGGTAAAAGACGGAAGAAGAGACCCTAAAGTCCCAGTTCTAAAGATGGAACACAAGTGTGAGCAACTATTTGTGGAGGAGAATGCTGCCTGTTTAGTATTTAATTCAGAATCCTGTCATAGAAAGGGCCCTGTAGACACACTAGAGAAAATGAATATTAAAAGGGGCTCTTTTCACAAATTAGAAATGAGAATGAGAAAAGTCCAGTGTTTATTAGCTAGGTTTGCCGGCTCGTGTCCGACTAGCAGAGGGGCTGAAAGGGAGGCTCTTGCGCTGTGGAAATGCTGCTGCCAAACCCAGTGTTGTCCCAGCACAGTCATTGCTCCCACTCCCCTCAGAAGGCCATTGGGACTGGAAGTATTTTATGCTTTTGGCAAACAATTCCTAAAACTTGTGAAAGCAGATGTTATCATCTCAGAATTAAATACTTCAGGGCAGTAGTACTGGCTGAGCAGGAGAATCAGCATAATATGGGAAGAAAAATACTAGTTCTCAGCTGTAGTTTTCCTGGCTTCCCCAATCCTGCTATGATGAAACAAGGCATCCAATTTAGTGTAATGCCTATTTACACTGCCAATACGCTGGCCGACTCTGGCACTGACAGAGTGATGATCTGTGGAAAAGAGGACTAATGAAGTTTAGGCTGTAGATTTTTATTTCAAATACTTGGCCCCAATTCCTATTCTTTTTATATCAATAAACCCACTAGAGATATAACCCACTGGGGCAGAGCTACACAGATTTGGTCTCTATTTCTGAATTTGATAACACATTTAAATCCTTGCTTTCTCTGTCTCTTATTTTCCCTCTTCTGAGTCCTCCAAAATTGGAGTTTTCAGAACACGGTTCAAGCCATTAAAATCTTTGGATTTCACCAGCCTTGGAGTCAGTAACCATCAACCCACTTCCACCACTCCATGAATGCTTCCCTGACTGCTTCAGAGACATTTACAAATGACCTCATGGGAAACTACTGTGCCCCATTTTCTTTCCTCTTTCTCCATTTCATTCCTCTTCGCCAACTGCAAGACTTAACTTCCTATCACCAGTCATGAGCCTTTGACAAATCTGGCCAAGCCTCAGAACCACCTGAGGGATTTGAACATTCAGGACCCGCAGACCTGGTCCAGGGAGCCTTCTCCACAGGCCAGGGGCTGGGTGGTTTTCAAATGCTCCTTAGATGTTCGGGACGCTCCAGCCTAAGGGATTCTCTCCACCAATGACCTCCCTTCATTAAGCTTTTCTTCAGCACTGACTGGGTGCGCTGCACGAAAGAGAATTCTCCAGCGTTCAGGTCCACAGAACTTTCTGTCTCTTCACAGCCTCCACCCTCTAACTAACTCATCACCATGTGCCTTCTTAAATACAACTTTGCTACTTCAAACTTCCAGAAAAGAATTGATTTTATCTATAGTTTCTCATTTTTTGGAGTCTACCCATGACCCCACTTCAAACGATGCTGTTCCTCCTACTGACGTTTCCCATTTTCTCTTGAACCACCTCAGCCACCCAAATCCTACAGAAGTCCTCACCACTGATTGTGCAAGCAGTATGTGCCAGCACAATGCTAAAGTTCTTATATTTGTTTTGTCATTTAATCTCCACAACAAGCCTGAGAGTTAGGTTTAATCTTCATTTTACAGAGGAGGACACTGGAAGAAAAGAGGTTATGACTTAGCCTCCCCACACAGTCAGTCAGGGGCAGAGTTGTGACTCCGACCCAGAGCCTAGCACAGTGCCTGACACACAAAGGCCTTCAATAAGTATCCACTGAATGAATGAATGAAGGGTTCCAAAGCTTATGTCCTCAGTACTCTCTTCAACTTGCACAACTCAGCCTCCATGCTCCAGAGTGTACCCCTAAAATACCACTCATTGAACACTTTCTGTTTGGTATAATCTCTCCTTACCCTAACTTTTAGTCTGTGTTTCTATTCTTTCTATAGCAGTTTCTGGAATTTCTTTATAAAAATGTCTATGCAACCTTACTTATTCGAGAACAATCTGAATTTATATGACGAACCCATAACATAACAGGACTCCACATTTGGTATCGGTGGTGGCTCTGCTTTTCTGCTCAACGGAAACGACAAATGTGATGAGAGGAAAGGAAACGCTTCGGCATTGCTCGGATCTTCCTGTCAACACACTAAATATTGGGGTGAGTGCTATTGTATTTCACTGGCGGTGACTGAATAACTTGGAAAAGGAAAAGGAAGTCAATTAAGCAGCATACTGAAAGAGTAGTGGCTGAGGGTATGACTGTTTGCTCAAAGAGACCAACTTTGATTTGCTAATATTTTGAAGGAGGGGGAAAAGTTATATCTATTTTGTGAGTGGTTGGCATAGTGATGGGCACAAATGACCCTCCTGTCACTCAGTGCTGAGTGTTAATATCAAAGACATTCAAATACTCACCAACAGCTGGTGTGCTAACGTTTCATAACACCTATATCTACAATGGTCACTAATTTTCTGCATGATTTCTCTTTATATAACTGGTGCCAAATTAAAGTCATGTGGAGAGTTGGCTGCTGAAACCAAGTGGCCTGTGCTTCTCTTTTAAAATTCTGTGTAATTCCTATTGTCCCTTATATTTCTTAAAATCCAGTTTGCTTTAAAGAGCAGTTATAGGGTTGCGGTGAGGGTTGGAATGATTGCCAGTTAAGAAAATTTTTATTAATGAATACTGAACAGCAAATGCTACAAGCTTTTCAAAAAAATTTACATGACTATAATAAAAGGATAAAATATTTGGGAGTCAGTATAACAACTAAAATAGCTCAATTCAAGAAAAAAAGTGCAAAATGCCCTTAACACATGGAAAAAGAAAGGCTGTTGATACACCAAAGTTAATAAGAAGCATCAATGCAAATTTCTAAAATATACAGAAAGCAGAGTTGTCCAATAACCAGTAACATGGTCTCTTCTCTTGTCAGAGCCTCATCATTTACCTTTTCTCATTTTTTCTGCTTGTTCTTTCCACTGCTTAACTTCATTTTCATTAACTAACCTGTACAATAAAGAAGCATTCATTACAAAAAACATAGAAGGCACACTGTTAAATGCATGCTCTCTAGTTACAAAAATAGTCTACTGCAGAGAAAATCCTCAGCATGCCTAAAACCCTCTTAAACCCCGACATTACTTAGATGTATTACATGCGTATTTAGTATAGGAACTCATACTTGCCTTCTAGCACGTTTCATTTCTCCTAGCTGCTATTTTGATGTAAGATAAAATAAATGTTTTACATTGTCACTATTATCTCATAGGCAACAAAATAAGAAAAAACTTACATTCGTACGACATTCTTAATATTAAAGTTTTCCAAAGGTGTGGAGTCAGGGTCCTGTCCTTTGTCATTTTGGATAACTATTTGCTGTATAATTCTATCCAGGAGTAGCCAGTACTGAACAGTGTTGCCACTTCTCTTGTCTAGAAAAGAAAAGAATGGTGGAAAAATACTTCGAGTTGTTTCTAAACTAGGACAAATATTTTTCAACAGCGGTCACCCACCAGAGCCACAGAACCAGGGAGATGCTTACAACATCCGCACCAATGCTTCCCAAAGTCTCTGGAATTCTGATATGTGATGATTATTTACTTGATTGAGAGGCACTTGCTATCCCTTTCTAAATGTGTTGTAAGGCATATATTTATTTGAAAATCAAAGTTATAACTCATTTCATTTTAAGAACTTCACAATACCCCTTAAGCTATGTAGACACACTGGGCTGACACAAAGCCAAGGTGCAGAATCCCTGATGTGCACCCAACCTAACGAGCAGTGTTGAGGAGACAGCCCTTTCGATGATGTCCAAACTTGAAGAAACACATGTGTACATCACAAACACACTCACAAGGCATTTGGAGGCAGTGGTGCAGGATGGACATGAAGTGAGGGTAAGCTTCACTATGGGTCAGCCTCTTCCTGGTCAGCTCAAACATCTGAGTTGCACTTTTTGTGTCTATATGCACCTATTTCGTATGGAAAAGAAATCTAAGTCAAACATCCAAGTTCCTCAATTCCTGCCACACAAGGTAAGCAAATCCAAGGCAAACAGAAGCTAACCTTGCCACTTAGGAAGCAAACAGAACTGTGATTTAGCTCTTAGGTTACACTGGTCCATGTCAACTCTACCACACACTTTACATAAGGAAATTCTGTGAGCTGATGAGTCCAATCAAAATAATTGTAAGCATACCTACCAGTTCAAATCTTTTGGCAAATTCTAATTCATCTTCATTTCGGAGCATTTCAAAAAAATCTAAGTGCCTGAAAGACAATTAAAGAAAAGCTAATAAAAGTAGAATGTCCTTTAAGCACAGGCACATACGAATCAGGACATTAATAATAAAGCCTAAACTTCTTGAGAGATATCTTTGAAAGAAATAAGACAACAAAATTTAAATGCCTTTGCTTAACTACACCCTGTCTAAGGAAAAAGACATCATCTGAGTGAAATGAGATCACAATAACAGACAAATTTAAAGGTCAAGGATGCCTAATATATAGTAGATAATTAATAAATGTTCACTAAATCCAAAAGCAATCAAGTCCAGATCCTGCTCTCACACTCCCTTTATGGAAAAACAAGCCTATAAACCTACACTTGACTGACCACTGAATTAAAGATCACAAAAGAAATGCCCATGCCATTCACTTTGTCATTCACATATTTATTGAGTCCCTACTATGTATTTCAGACACTGGGGATGATAAGTTCTATGAATACAAATACACGAGGGTAAAGGGAATAGAGAATGATGGGAGGTGAGGTGAGTAATGTACACACAGTGGTTGGAAAAGGTCTCTCTGCAGGGAACAAGGGAACAAGCAATTTGGACATCTGTGGGAAGATCTTTGAATGCTGAGGAAATAGCAAGTGCAAAGGCCCTGAGGCAAGAATATTTAGACATGTTCCTAGAACAATCAAGGAGAAGAGCATGCTGGAGTGCCTGAATGAGGGAGAAGAGTGGCAGAACAGATCTGAGAGCTAGAGGGATATGTCAGAAGTACTAAAATGATTGCATACAAGAGCAAATGAACAGGAAGGTGGAAATTAACATCCACAGAAGGTCTATCAAAAGTACCAAGGGATTCCACACGTTTTATAGTCAATTTTCATAAGAGACCTGAAGATAGTTGTTGTTATCGTCATCACTATTTCTTGCAGGTAGAAAAACAGTAAGGTTCAGAAAAATTGAGTAAGTTGACCAGAATACATAGTAAATAAGAGGCAGGACTAGGATATGGATTCAGGTCTAATGCCAAAACCCATGCTAGGTTCTCTTCACAGGGTGCTGCTTCTTTCATTGAGAAAGTCTGCCTACAGAAACATCATTGGTTGGACCGCATTCTGGGGCAAGCTCCCGCTGTTACAGACAGGTCACAAGGAGTTCACAGGCTGGCGCTACACATATGGAAAAAGTATGTCTCAGATCACAGCAGTCTGACTTACCTATCTAAGGTTGAATTCTCATGTTCCCTCAATTTATCTATTACAGGTTGAATTCCTAGCATCAGAAACTCATAGCGAAGATGAAGTCTAAAGTCCAAACTTTCCTGAAAGTACAAGGGTGATAAAATACACATTTAAGCTTTTTAGACTCCATAGTCAGTAATCTTTTATTATTACTATTCTTTAATAATATGTTTTAAATTGTGGTCCAGGGGGTTCTTACCACTCCTGCGCCTTGGCTGAGCACTGCATTGATGAAGGACATGATAGCTGTCTTGAGACTCACTTCATCTCGATACCGCCCTGTGCTTTTATCCAAATCATTGATTAACGTCTACCAAGGATTCAAACACAAAAACAAAGGACAGAGTCATTACTAACCATACACTCATTTTATTAATTTTTTACTCAGAAGTTAATTTTTTAAATCCTGTATTTAGTCAGAATTATATGGACCTATAAAAAGCCACCTTTTTTTCTTAAGATTAGGTCTAAAAATTCTACTTTCAAAATTGTTACCTCATATATGTTCATATATACACACGTACAAAGTACGAAAGACTGTGCTTCGTTAACTCGGCTTGCTTTTTATATTTGAGTATAAATATGATGACATAATCTCACTGTTTATGTCGATCCTAAATCAAGGATAGCAACTGTAAAGTTTTCAGGGACACTCCATTCAGTGGAGTCAAAAGATGTGTGCTATATACGGGCTGGCCGGGTGGCGTAGTAGTTAAGTGTGCATGCTTCACTTTGCTGGCCTAGGTTCAGGGGTTTGGGTATCCCAGGTGTGGACCCACACACTGCTCATCAAGCCATGCTGTGGCGGTGTCCCACATACAAAATGGAGGAAGGCTGGCACAGATGTGAGCTCAGGGACAATATTCCTCACCAAAAAGAAAAAAAAAAAAGATGTATGCTATATCATGGGTAGGAAGCAGGGCCACATTTTTAATTCAGTAAATCCCAAACCCCAGCTTGATCATGTATAGAAAGTATATTCCAGTCTCTGGTACTAACACCTGAGAGGAAGGAAATGCTTGAAGTCATGGTGTGAGCCATCACCATGGGGGAAATCTCAGGTTAGGCTCCCCCTTCAGGCCAGGAAAGGTACCTGTCAGAAGGGTGAACGAAGAGCAGTGAGGGAGCACCCACCTGAAAGCGGGTCCTTTCACTGGCATACTTCTGGTAGTGCAGCATGGCCTGCAGAACCTTCTTGTGGCCCCCGGGAACCAGGCACACGGCGCCCAAGATTTCCAGTACGGCCACCTTTGTTTTAATGTTCTCTGTGCTCAGACTCTGAGCAATTACGTTAATACTCTCAGAATGAGCCAGGACGTGAGCCCGACCTTGAGAGTTGTTCATTAGCGCCTTTATACATCCAATGAGAGAGGTATGTATCCGAGACTCTGAGGTCTCATAGTCCATGGTCTTTAGAAAGTTGAGAATACATGACAGGCCATCCAAGTCGATGAATCTGGTTACAAACCTGTCACGAGGAGAAGGTTAAAACGTATCAGACCCAAGTCTCCTTGGAATTTTGTGATAGCACTTAAGGAAAAAGTTTGGGGGGCTGGAGAAAGAAAGCAAGATGTAGTTCCTAAAATACCAAAAGGCTTACATTGATGAAGTCTTCTTAATTCCTGGCCTCTTCCTTGGCACAGATCCAATGGTCAGGGCTAACCACAAGTGTGAAAAAAACCTCCATTTGAGGTAAAGAGATCTTAATTGATACAAAGAACCAATTAACACGTGATATAACCCCAGAAAATCAGGATTAAGAAGACACTCAGAATACGTGTCTTAGGTTAAAGTCATCTGCTGATCCGCGTGGTTATAACATCCAGCCCTATGCACTTTTGTCTACTGACCACTGACCCAGGCAGGGCTCATATCAATGAAAGTCAAAGAACATCCTTAAAGTCCAGGATATTTGCGTGTCAAATAAATGATAGTCTATATCCCTAAGGTTGTGTAGAAACCCCTTCTTTGTATGAAATACTACACGGCATCCCAATATATAAAATAAATAAATGATACTTTATTACTGTAATTTTACTGATATTTATAGCACTTACTGTAAAGTCAACCAATGAGAAAAATTCATAATGGACATGTGCATGTTAAGCCTCTGAAAAGTTCAGAAGTATCTGACCACTCCAGAAATTTCCAAACTTATTTAGCCTTGAATACCCACTAACAACAGAGAATGCAGAACACAGAGGGAAACATTGATATATTAGGAATAGGCTAGAAGGACTCTGTCACACAACTGCATAGGCTTTTTGATAAATCAATAGTTTTTCTCAGTTAGCATTTTATAGTCAAAAAAAGGAAGGAAGTCTTTATTTTCCAACCATTTCACCCAACCAGATGACCCAGATATAGCCAAGCTGGTTAAACCAGTTGGCTTCATTCATAGCACCTGTACTAATGAACTGTACCTGGAAGCATCCAACACCCCACCAAACTTGAGAGGCATTAATGGGAAATGCAGGTGTGGCGCACACACAGTGGAAGTTGACTGCCATCTTTTTCTTTATAGCAGTTTTATTAAGATATAACTCACATGCCAAAAAATCCACATTTTCAAATGTATAATTCAGGGATTTTTAACATATTCACACAGTCGTGTAGCCACTGCCACTATGTGATTTTAGAATACTTTAATCATCCCCCAAAGATCATTTCCCCCTCTCCCCAACCTCAGGCAACCACTATTCTTTATGTCTCTATGGATTATCCTTTTCTGATATTTCCTATAAATGGAATCATACAATATGTGCTCCTTTCTATCTGGCTTCTTTCACTTTCCATAAATATTTTCAAGGATCATCAATGTTACAGCATGTATCAGCATTCCATTCCTTTTCATGGCTGAATAATATTCCATTTGATACATCACATTTTCTTTATCCATTCATCAGTTGGTAGAATTCGGGTTGCTTTCACTTTTTGGTTATTATGAATAATGCTGATATGAACATTCACATACAAGTTGTTTGGGAGACACGTTTTCATTTCCCTTGGCTATATATCAAGGAGTAGAATTGTTGGGTCATATGGCAACACTATATTTAACATTCTGAGGAGCTGTCCAACTGTTTTCCGAAGTGGCTGCACCATTTTACATTCCCACCAGCACTGAATGAGCGTTGCAATTTCTCCATATCCTCACCAACAATTGTCAGTCTCTGTCTTTTTTATTTAGCCACCTTAATGGCTGTCTGCACATCTTTGATTTGAAGAAAATCAATTTACTGAATGTTCAATCATTAAAGTATTTCACTCATGGTTCAATTGCATGCTTTTAATTTAAGACTTCCTCAAAAGTTTGGCTATTGCAGAAAAAAGAAGGAAGGAAGGAAGAAAAGAAGGAGGGAAGAAAGCGTAGAAGAGAAGAAGAAAAAGAAGAGACAAGTAGCGCACGCTACCCAGGAAAACATTACCTCATTGGTTTTGTCCTCAGTGCTGTCTTCAAACTCTCTATAGTTTTACTTCTCTCCTCTTCCTCTTCCTTTTCCAAAGCCAGCAGAGATTTTCTCTATGCAAAGAATACTGAAGTTACTTCTTTAAATTCTGTGTTTTAATTAAAGCACAAGCAAGACAAGTCCAAAGATGACGAGCTACTCTCACTTTTAATACAAATAATCAGTCAACAAATCTATGACTAAGATTTACTACAAGCCAAAATATAGAGCAGAAGCACCAAGAATACAAGTTAGTTCTTTCAAACTCTAAATAAAGCTTTAAGGAAATGTTTAGAAATGTTAGTAGAGATTAAGTTGTCCAAATGTTTGTTTGTACAACTACACTTTGATGAAGTTACTACTATTTATATTTGCTAGAAAGAAGACTGGACCGGCAGTTAAATACAACATTCTAGCAATTAAATAACATTATCACACTATCAAACAGAGGTGGGCAGCAATCTTCCCAAGCTCTCTCTCCCATTCCTCACACTGAAAAGTGTAATCTTTTATACTTTCTATTACATGAAAATTTTTTTTAAGAGAAAAATTAAGCTGGACCTGGTACTAAGATGGACAATTCCTTTAGAGTAAATGTCTAAGTTTTAGAAATGGTTCAACATCATCTGGAAATCAGGACATGGAATGTGGACGTGGGTGTTTGTGTGTGTGTGTACACTCTCCCTGCTCAGGGATCCGCCAGAGCCATGCTTCTCCAACTTAAATGTGGATACGAATCACCAGGGGATCTTGTTAAAATGCGAGTTCTGATTTGCTATGTTTGCGTGAAGCCTAAGATGCCGCATTTCTCACGAGTTTCCATGCAATGCTGATGCTGCAGGCCGTAGACCTCACTTTGAAGAACGAGGCTCTAGGGAAGCAGATCTCAGCTGATGTTATAAAGTGGGGAACGCTAGTAAGGTTTATAGACTTGTTTAAAAGCCTTTTGCACTCCTTTCACCCCCTGATCACCTAGTTGTACTAAAAGTATCCCCAAGTTGGACGGCCCCAGGTGCCTCCACCCACGGAACCACTGGTCCCTTGCCTTCACCCTACTCTGAACATGTGCTTATCTAGGCTCAGTCTGTTTACCTGTTACCAATTCTGATAAAATGCATGGTTTGGAAACAGACTGGGGTATTGGGAAAAAGAGTCCTATCCGTGTGTCTCAACGGTCCAGTCTCTCCCACTCTTTCAGGACCACAAATCATCAAGGGATAACTTTACTTAATTTTGTCAAGTCAACAGTATCAGCACTAAGTAACCAAATGTTAACTACAGCCTAAATTTGACTCCGCAATTAGGAGGGTAAAACCCAAAGCAAGCAAACGTATCAGCATCACTGATGGCAACTAAAATATAAATCAGTAAAGCCTTGTTTTTTAAACTTGTTACTGTTTCTGCTAAAGCTGTTGTCTTGCTGGTGATGTGCCTGGACAGCTGTCACCAGAGGACAGTAGGGGAAGAAGCTGCGTGCAGAAATAGACAACGAATTTCTTCACGGCTCCATGAGACCCAGTTCCTGGAAAATTCAGCACAGATCCAGCCAAAGCCATTTAATCTCCTATGGCACAGCTGAACTCGTTTAGACTCGTAAGCAGTCACTTTGAATCTGCAGCTCAGAATCAAGCCTTTTATGAATATCACTCCTTGTTCCTAAGTTTAACCACACAAAATGATCTCCAAATTAGACGACACAGATTTCTTGTTGTGGTTCCCTAATACTGAATAAAGATGCATGGATTCATCCTTTTAACGATCCTGGAGAGGGTGGAACATCTGAATAAAAGCAGACTACATTACGTCTCTCCCTAGTAGAGTTGGGAGATTTATGAAATGTCAAGAAAATTAAATTGCAATTTCCTTTCCCAATATAAGGAGCATTTTATTCCTCTCAAAACAGAAGACAATGTGCTTTTTTCTGTATGTGATACAATTAGATTTGAATCTAAGATTGCGTTTATCGTATTGAGGGTATGAGGAGGAAATTGATATTCTACTATGACTTTTCAAAACAAAATAATTTACATAAAATCTCAAGTTTTCCAGCTTCCCATTTAGAAAAAAGGCTTAATTTTCAACTTTTGGTAGAAAAGGGGGCTATACCTACACTTCTGAAGCTAGCTGCGACACCAAACATCCAGCATCCACCTTGACATACACAGGACAGGCCTGCGGCAGCCTCTGTGAGTGCTTTATGCACTTACTAAATCCCTGCTCACATGAGAAGTGGGGAACGGAGAAAGCACATCCTGGCAGAGGGTCTTCCGGTCAAGCGGCTAAGGTATACACCAGAACAGGCAGGTCCAAGACAGAGGCACAAACGAGCCTCAGACATCATTCCTGGCTGGGAGTCTGGCACTAAGTTCTTGCGGGAAACATTTCCTTGGTGTGAGATCAATAAGGCAGGCCACTGAGCCCACTGAACTTCACCTTACATCCTTCCTCCTTCAGAGGGCACAGAGAAGCCACATAGCCAGCCAGCCCAGGTCCTTCCCGAATCTGCTGGGCTGCACTCTTTTATCACACTGTTTTTCACTCTTTAAAAGCCAGTAGATCACTCAGGGGTCCTTTAAAGAACAAAGAATCTTGTTATGAAGCTTATGTGAAGTAACTGAACTTGTTCCACAAAGAGCTTCACAGGCCAGTAAGCGCTGAAGTTCTCAACCTAGACCGTTTACTAGACTCCCAGGCATTAAAGAAAACAGATGCCTTTTTGGGAGGAGGGGTGGGCTGGGGTGGGAGTATCCTTTTACATGCCAAACGGTTTTAAAAACTGAGTGAGTCAGAGGCAAACTGGAAAGGCATCTTTGAGCTCAGACTGATAGGTTTCAATTCCAGCTCCACTACTTCCTAGTTAGATGACCTTGGGCAAGGTAACCTCTCTCTGTCCCAGACTCCTTATCGGTAATAGCACTTAGAGCATAGGGTGCTTGTAAGGGTTGAAACCAACATGGAAAGTGCCTGCTCTATGGCCTGTCGCATGATGCCCACTCAAGAGCAGTAGTTGCTACTGATGCTGAAGACAGTGGCTGATGACAAGGTGAATAAATGCCCCTTCAACAATTCCCTAAGCAGAGAGCCAAAGAGTCTCGCTGCCAGGCCACGAAAGGATTTGGAGGAATTGTGTGCCTTTCTAGTCCCCAGGGACAACATCTCAGGACTTCTGCTGTGTGTTGTCGAGAATTCTCCAATACAGTTCTCAGGGTTGAGCCAAAACTATGGGAGGAGGTAGTGGCAACAAATATGGTAAGAAAAACAGAAAACTCAGCATAAAGTCTCTGGTCCCAGAGGTCCCCTCCTTCCTCCATGTTTGCAGGAGTTCTGAGGCCTCCTTAATTCATGAACTATTGATGCCCTTTACCTTTAACTCTGGAAATTGCTGGCTCAGTCCTTAAAGAAGCATTAGAAAGCTTTGTTAGGTGTTTAATACATAAAGAATAGCAAGTTTACAAATTTAATATTGTCATAACAATATGACAATTTAATAGCCTTGAGGTGCTCTTGGAAGGGACTTTGGATTGGGAAGCAAATAATTAAAATGTAGACAACTCATGAAAGCAGCCAAGAGTTGTCCAAGGAGCTGGACAAAGGAGGCTTCTGAAGAAGGGCCACGTCATGGACCCTCCACTGCAGGAAAGGAGCCAGGCTGACTCCAGCCAAGGCCTGGATTAAGTCTTTAAAGGGCAAAATAACCTAACTAGCCCAAAATTTGATGAAAAAATCCATAGGGCTCAGTACTTCACCATTCATAGACGTGAACTCATTAGCAAAGATGCAACTTCCCTTGTTAGACATCAAACAACGGTGACTTAATTAGAGAGAGAGATGGCCTGCCTGACAGCTCTTCTGTTCCCTAACAGCCAGCAACCAGAATTCAGAAAATAACCTTCACATGCAGGAAATGTAAAATGGCTCTAAATCATTATTGCTTAGGTGGATGCAGAGAAAATCCCTGATGCTCATCACAAGCCTCCCATTCTGCTAACACATTCATACAAATGCTGAGATCACCCTTTTTGCATGTCTGTCATTGTGTAGGATGTCTTGTTAAAGGAGGATTTGGTGGTTATTTTCTATTCTTTTCTGCTGTGCTTTTAGACTAGAAACCCATGGGGCAAAAGCTTGTGCAGTTTCTTCTATAATTTATACAGCCCTGTTTACATTTACCAGGCTATTTATTATTCAATGTGTGATAGCAGAAGAAGCATCTTCAAAGAAAAAGCGAGAAAAGAGGAAGTTACTCAAAGTCAAGGCCTCTGAAAGTTTAGCAAAAGTGTGAATGATTCACATATTCTAGTCAGTTTTTAACTTTTGCAGCAGCAGCAAAATATTTGACAATCTAAAATGTTTGCTTTAACTGATAAGAAACTAATTCTCCATAAGGACTCGGGGGAAGCCAGGAAAGAAAGAGGTAAAGAAAAGTATTATGGAAGCTATCATATCACAATATGCTTGGATATCATAAGCTCAGAGTTGAATGTAACAGACTGACTTTTAAAATTGTGAGTGTGCCCACTGAGGCCAAGACTGTGTTCTCCGTGGGCAATCTCCAATTTTATCAACACAAAGGATTCAAGCTACTAAGGCTCAAAGGTTGACGATGTGTTTTCTGTTGCATATTTTAGCTGGGATCAATAGGTTCTCCTCCAGCTGCTTGGAACACTGACATCACAGAGACAACCACATGACCAGAATGCACATTTTAGACATTGAGAATGCATTTTAAGCAATAACTGAAGGAAACACCCATGTACCAAAGATTTCCTAAGGACATCTCAGCATAATTATTATTATACCTTTTCATTAAATCACTTATTCCATGAATTCCTTTTTCTTATTTATGAGAGTGAAAGAGTACCTTGGTGCCCTGTGAAATCAAGAACCCAAGAACTAAGCAAGTCCCCAGTAAAAAAAAGAGTGGGAGGAGAACAGCGAAGCCTGTTGAGAATAATACTGCCATAACAAAGCTCCCAATGATTGGTATGAGCAATTAAAAGTTAAAGTTGAACATAAGCCAGATTTAAGATTACATTTCCTCTTATAACATTAAAACCACTTATATTTTAGTGTGTGTTGATTTTATTTAAAACATACTAGAAAAAATCACTTTGCCAAGTACCATTCCTGCCCCCTCTTTCCCCCACAACGTTGAGTGTTTGGAAAGATAATGACATTTGGTAGTTCTTATTCCAGTGGATTTATTGTGCAACTGTGTGCTTTGTACTAGACTTGCATTTTAAACTGTGTGTGGTAGAACAGAAAGTCACCTACAGCAGCCATGGAGTTGAGCTGATCGATGTAGAATTCAGGCCAACTTGTTGCTCCCTTGTTTTCTTCTTGGTCCTAAAGAGAAAGAAAAAAAAAAGTGATATACCACCAGATGTATACACACAACGGCCATAAGCACATCTGACTTCCAGAGCATCTAGACAATGGCCCACACAAACCAGTAGAAGACACTGAGTGATAGATGATATTTGTCTTTAAATGTTGGCTTTAAATCATCAGACTGTCCACTTGACTAGGGTGGTCTTCCCGATCCAGTTTGCACAGAGAGCATGTAAGCCTGAGTAAGGCGTGACACAAACCATGGATCAAGGGGGAATTTAGATGGGAACTTAGCCATACCATGGTGTGATGTTATTTTCCCTTGGGGGCACAAGAGCATTGGGAAGGGCACTGAGTCTGTTGCAAGGACAAAGGATCTCTGGCCTGTGTCACACTGAGGACGGTACTGCTGGACTACACATCTGGGGGAAATCCGCAGAAGAGGGAAAGTTGTCTTAAAAAATAGCCACGAGGTTCAGTCAGTTGTTAACTAGACTTTTTCAGTTAGTTTATTCAGACTGTAGCAGACGGTAGACTTTTTTTTTTTTTTTTGAGGAAGATTATCCCTGAGTTAACATCTGCCGCCAATCCTCCTCTTTTTGCTGAGGAAGGCTGGCCCTGAGCTAACATCTGTGCCCATCTTCCTCTACTTTATGTGTGGGACGCCTACCACAGCATGGCTTGCCAAGTGGTGCCATGTCCGCACCCAGGATCCAAACTGGTGAACCCCGGGCTGCCGAAGCAGAACGTGCGCACTTAACTGCTGCACCACCGGGCCGGTCCCAACAGTAGACATTTTAAGGAAGGGTTTCATTGATGTGACCAAAACCAGTTACTGCTTCAGATGAGGGGTGGCCTGACGGTGAATGGAAAGAATGGAATGAACACACATCACTAGTCCCAGGCCCAGTCCTTATGCTGGGGCAGCTTGTGAGTTTGAGAAAACGTAACTCATCTGAGCTGACAAGAACTGAAACCCAAGGAATTTGGGAACCCCTTCCTAAACCGCTCCAGCCAGTCTTGCATCTTACACACTAGTGTGACTGGAAGCCAGCACCAGAGCCCCCAGGGCCTCTGTGGATTGGAGATCTGTGCCAGACTAAACCCACACCTCCAAAAAAATCAGGCGGCCATGGCCTCTGCTCCATCAGAGCATCGAGTCTATCAGAAGATGGCATCGTGGCCTGGGATTTCCAGGCATGTTTGCAAACCTATGCGGCTGTAAGTCATATGTGCAATCAGACAGACTCGAAGAGGGAAATTTCAGCTATTCTCCAGTGTCATATTCAGAGAGCATCTTAGTATAAATGACATCCCCTGTCTCCTTGGAGAAGATGCTGGGCCAGGTACACATATCTGCTACTGGACAATGAAGTAGTTACCCCCTACTGCCTGGTGTCAGAATCCCAATCCTTGCGACAGCGGTTTCAAGGTGTGGCTTTTAATTTCAGTCCTATACTTTACCTCAAAAAAATACTTTCTCTAAGCCAATCTAATCTTTCCAAGCAGATATACTAGGCTAAGATAAAAGAAACATGATTTCAAAACTATTCTTTAAGTAGTCACAAAAGGAGAGCAAAGTAACTATTACTTACGGTGCCTTAAAAGCTGGCAGTAAGTGATATCTCAGCTTCTGATAACTCTGGCCGTTGCATCAATTTCATCTGGAGACTGAACAAGCCAGATGATGGGGACAAAGGCTACAGCAGTGGCTTTGAAGTTGGACTGGATTACACTTACATGGTTTTAAAAAGCTTAGGAAATCTGATGAGTTCTTAGAACAGCTCTTGATTATTATTTAACACATTAATAAAATAGCTATAACGGTAGTGTAAATGCTGAACCATTCTCTCCTCTTAAAATGGAGTGTTAAAGTTAGCAAAAGCCCAGTGTTACCAATGTATTCAGCGAGCCAAAACCCACAGTGATATTCATTGGTGTTTGAACCTATAAAATGAAATAGAAGGTGCCAGATCTTTCTATTCCCCTAAACTAGGGCAAATTTCCAAAACTAAAACAAAATCATGCCCCATGTGTAGGGTCCCATGAGAGCCTGTCTGTTGTTAGCTAAAAAGTCATGGTTACAGATGAGAGATTGTTTTAGAAACTGAAGATTAGTATATAGAGAGAAATCTTTACACTTTGGAAGTGCTTTAATAATGTAAACAGATGAAGAGAAGACCTAGATACTGAAGTCAAAACAAGGGGAAGAAAGCTTCATTTTTCTTTCACATGCTTCAGTGCTGAGAAAATCAAATGAGGTAACATATGTGAAAGCTTCTCGTAAATGTCCTAAGTGTTATCACTATATTCCTGGGGGTGATTTTCAGAGGTCTGCATTTTGCAAGTGCATCTCCAGATTCCCTAGGGCACTCCTGGTCCTCCTATACAGACGTGTGCTATGGCAGCGAAGTGAAACTCACATCTGTGAGCCAACTCTCTGCTCCTACCTTGTGTGGCTGCTAGAGTCTGTGGTTCTGCAGAGGCACAGGACAAAAGAGATGAAGACAATTGTTCTCCGCTGGTCCCCTAAAGAGTACTGGACACTGAGACATGGCAAGGGGGAGACTCTCTCCTAGGAAGTCCATGAAAGAAACTGCTGATGGAAGTGCAATGTGTATAATTTCCTGGAAGGTAACTAGGTCCTATGTATTATCAGCCTAGTTGCAATGGAAGCAACAACATTTCCAACACATAAATAGCTTACTATGTGTCAAGCTCTGTGCTCTTCATTTAATCTACCCTGTGAGACAGGTGCTGTTATTATACTCATTTTACTAAATGGGAAATGAGAGGCAAAGAGAGGATGGTGAGTTGCCAACAGTCATGTTGCTGGAAACTGAGAGTCAATGGGAAAGAATCAGGGCAATCTCTTGCTAAGACTAGACCTCAGATTAATCACAAGCAATAAATATTAAGTGCAAAGCTAGCCTTTTACTCTTAACCACTTCACTATAAGAAACTCAAACATGGCTAGTGGCCAAAAATGAGTTTGCCTTTCCCTAACTCTTCTTGTTATTTTTGCTATGTTCGACATTTCTGAATATTATTCTAAGGTCTGGTGTCTTCCCGGGGTTACCTCTGATCCCCCCTCTAGACTCTTCCTGCGGGAACTTTTCTGCCTATCTTTATACACATGCAGAAGGACAGCACTTCAGAAGCTCTTCCCACCCCATTCTGCTCTGTTCTACAGCTCAGTCTCAAGGCCATCCTCATGGGATTTCTCAAGAGCACTTGCAGATGACCTGAGAGCATTGAGTGGTTCTGGACACTGGAACGGGGTAAACAAATCGCTCCCTAAACCATAAAGATCTCACCCTACTTTTGTCTCCTTCTGTCACTGACTCCACCAGAACTTTTCTCTAATAAGCAAGAATGTTGGCTTAATTCTATTCTTTTAAAAAGTTGGGTTCCCCTTCCCTTTTAAAACAGATTCTTGGTAAACTTAATGACACCTAGAGAAGGCTGCCCTAAGGGAATACAAATTCTAGAAATCACATTAAATGTTCTTTTTATTCTACCCACAGAATGGATAATTCAGATTAAAATCTAGTTTTGTTCCCTCTTGAAAATGTTATAAGCATTTAAGTTTATCTGCCCATCTTCAGAAGGTCTCTTAGAGAACTAGAATTGATAGAAACATTTTATGTTATTGAATTCTCCACTGATTATTGGTTTTTGAGAATATTTTCAAACATCACTTATTTTCAGAGAGACGATACGTTGGAAAGACGACCAGATAGGCCATCTAAAGATCAGATTCCAGAACTTACTTTTTGATTTACTCAATTGGAATTTTTTGCTAAGTGTGAATATCTCTGGGCCTCATTTTCCTTCTCTCCAAAATAAGAGGGCGAGAGCAGACCGCTTCTACATCCCTGCAAGCCCTAAGACTTTGCACAGGGCTCGGGGTGAGCTGTCATGGAATGCGCAGTGTGGACCGCACTTAGTGTGAGGGACCAATTTCTAAAATCAATAATTTTTTAAAATTTATGTTGTTCAATGACTCAGTTATAAAACCCCTAACTTTCAATAGCTATGTCCTTAACCAGGTAATTGAAGGGGAACAAAATCTCAACATTAATTATTTTATTCTCTCTCTGATCCGGCTCATCCTGTTTCCTTAGTAGGTTGAGAGCCATCGGTAGAAGATTCACAGACGAAACTTCTGCTGATGGACACTCGACGCGGCCTTTGCTTTCAGCCAGCACTGACTACAATTTCAACCTCTTTTCTTGGTTGTCTACTTTGTTCCCACTATCTCAAACTCTGAAAAAACAAAAAACAAAACAAAACCTCCTTTTTTAGAAAGAGAAGGGAACTTGTACATTACAAGGGACCTTCAAGAACACTTTTTTTTTTTTAAATCAGGCTTTAATCAACCAATTCATTTAGAAGGTAAAGAAATACAGTCTTTCTAACCTCGCTTCATTTCTAACTGGCACATTTTTCATCCCAAATCTCTGGTTGGTGGCTAATAAAAAAATTCCAGGAGATCCTCCCCCATCCTCTTTAAATACACAACAGTGGCATTTGTTTTTCTGAACATCACTTTGCCCATAAGAATAAATTGTACGTTATTTCTTTGCCCTCTTTCTGGAGTAAACATTCACAGCTATGTCCCAGACTTCTGTCTCTCGCTTCATTATCATCTCTTTCTACCAATCCAAGCTGACTGTTCCACTGCTTCCACCACCATCAACAGACATGCTCCTGGATCCTCAGCCACTCACTACCCTGAGGATACAGGCAGGCAAGTTAGTAACCTCTCTGCGTGACTCAGGTTTAGTTTCCTTATCTGTGAAAGGGGTGCCTGCCTCATAGGGTCATTGTGAGGATTTGATAAGTTAATACAAGTAAAGAAACATGGGAACAGCAGGCACAGAACATGCTCGATGAACGTCAGCTAGGATGATAACGATACTGTTCCAGAATCTCCAGCTACGGCCATTCTAAGTCCTTGTTACTAGGACAGCAGAAATTGGAGAAATCAGTTTGGAGGTAAATTTTGGCAG